TGTGAGGCCACATATTACAATATATTACACTTGTGGTACGATTTGTAGATAAATTGCTATCAATAGATATTCTAAGTGAAATGCTATACAATAATACAAAATAGAGATTATTTGTGTCATTGCTGGGCAAAGCACCGGATCAACACAATCTATCTCTTAACCTCGATGCTTTGGTACGGTTTAACCTACTTTTGTACACTCTAAATATAAATGAGTGAATTCATTCTTTAACGATTGAAAATTAATTCTTCTCTGAATAGAGTGATATCTTACATTTTTTTACTTTGTTTTACTCTATTGGAAGGAATCTATTTCGCTTTTCACGATCTTACATTTTAGTACTACAAATTTATTAATAGTAGGCATAAGCTTAGGTATCAATAGACCAATATAAAATTATTTTCATTATTGAGAGGGCTACCTATTTAACAATTTTGACAAGGATATTTCACAAGAACTCGAGATTATAAATGGGTACCTAGTAGGGAGATGAATAAATGGGAATGAAATTAGTTGTGCTAATTAATAACAAAAAATACTGCCCAGCAGGGGTGGCGCCAGCGGGGGATCCCGTCTAGGAGAGTTCCCCACCCCTTCATACTAGTAAAATCGATTAAATAAGCCTTTGAAACCTCTAAATTGTCAACATTTTCGGGGGCTTCACCTCCTGGACCACTTTCGAAACGTTTTAATCGAAGCTCGACCACGCCCACTTTGCTTTCGTCGGGGAAATCTGACCCCTCGTCGGGGGAATTGTTCCCCTCACCGTCAGGGGAATCTCATCTCCTCGTCGGGGACCTCGTCCCACCTCCCCCGTCAGGCAAATCCTGGCGCCACCCCTGCTATCCAGGGAGCGGAGGAGGTTGCACGTTGTGTATGATTGATGTATCGAATGAACGGAGGGGTGGGGGACGCCTTGAGCAGTTTTTTGGATATGTGCGCTATATGAATCCTATAAAATATACAGCTAAAAGCAAAAAGCTTACTTAACTATTTCTGTATGAAAATCTAGGTATACATAAATACCGTAGGTAAATTATTGAGATTTATATTATGTGCTGCAACTTACCGATACACCGTCAAAAGTACACGAAGTCAGTGGATTACAAAATGCATTGCTAGAGGAGGGGGCGCTATACGTCTCGAGTTCAACAATATATCTGTTGTAACCTAAACAAATACATTTATATCAAAATGCTGTTAATTTTGTTTAAATTTCAAATGTAAGTGCCTAAGAAATATCAATTTGCCCCTCAATAATTATCGAAAAGTTAGTCAAGGGACTACAAAAAGGGCCCGCAGATTTTGGCACATTCCCTAAAATACACACAATGTCACCTAATCCCTACAAATACACCTTTTTTATAAGAACATTGAGGCTGAAATTGCTTTAAAAATAAAAACGAATTGAGGCTGAGATAAAATGATAACTAACCTTCAACAGGTGTCCAAGATATGTTGACCTGTAAATCCCATTTTGTATCGTAAAGATCAATTGTGAGAAATGTTGCCTTGATGTTAATGCTATCAATTGCTACAGAATCTTGAATGAAAATATATATATATATATATATATATATATATACTAGTAAGTTGTGTTATTAATATCATTTTTATTGATTACATTTCATTAATACAAATACAATCCCAGTACCATAACAACATAATAGATATCATAAAACACAAGGGAACTTTTCATTTTGTATTCTAACTTAACAGAAAATACAAAGTAAATATACAACCATGAATAATTGTTTAGTTTGTTAGTTCCTACCCTTTGAGCGATAACAGCAGGAACCTTGCGCATCAAGTTTATTGCAAAACAACAGTAAAATGGCTACAACAGCAGAATTACAGCTTCTTTGCATGTTTCTGTTAGGAAGGGAAAAGACGATTATTCAACTGTTTATTCATCCTTAGTATTATTATGATAATCATATTGATTATGAATGATAATGACGACTATGATGATAATGATGATGGTGATGTTGATGATGATGATAATATAATGAATGATAATGGCGAATGATGACAATGATGATGATGACGATGATGACGAAGACAATAATTAAAAAGCGTAACAATTGATAATAATAATAATACAGTAATAATAATAAAAATTTTTAATGCGCGTATGATGACGTAAAAAATCGTTTAAAAGCAAACTATACTTTTGAAAAATTAATTCTGATAAAATAATAATGATATATGATGTTAGTGTAAAAATGCGTACTTACCTATTGTAGGGCGGCAATGTTGCGCTTTATGAAGAAACAACCTATTTTTAGTATAGTGTTGCATTTACCAGTACATAATAATAAACCGGATAGACCCATAATAATTTTGAAGTGTGCGTTGACGTTGGTAGCTCGTCTACTTGATTGGCCGGAGTAGAAAAGCACTGACGAATCCATTTTTGTTGTGGGCGTACATGAAATGGGTCAGGCAATGCGAATAAAAAAATAGGCCTACTTTACTTATCCAATTATTATCTAACTTTATAATACAATTTGATTTTGAAATTGTACTCATTCTATACAACTGTGCAGAAAAACAAAAATATTTGTTCTAAAATTGTAAAAGTCCTCACATTATGCTGTTCAAATGATGTCAAACACATAAAAAACGCATATTCTACGCTCGCTTACCCTCTAGTTATGAATTTTTTTTCATTGCAACATTTTAGAAAAAATAAGAATCTATTTATCTAATTATATATATATATATATATATATATATATATACATATATATATATATATATAGTGTTACTGGCTTTTCAAGTTTGACTTCACAATCTAAATAATTGTAAATATGAAATATTGCATTTTTTGTCCAGTGTTTTCCTTGTAAATTGAGTTTGTTTCATGCTAAATATTACTATAACTGTTGTATTTTTCAAATTGATATTGGTTTTTGGTAGAGGGTCCTTTTAAGTCATCATTGCTGTTAGGGCCACCCTCGTAAAATGAAATTGAATAAAAAATTAAAGAATAAATAAATAAAAAGGAAGAATATTGTTAATAAAACCTAAGCTACTTCTAATTAAATAATAATTATCTTTTATATAAGTTATTTTGTAAGTTTATAGGCCTACACCATTATGTGTTCGATTTTATTGATTATTTAAATCAAAAGGTTGTATGCGAATTAACAGTTTGATAGACTTTGTTAACAAGTAATGAATACGTTGGACGTACTGTTGCTTTACTTATAAACCCTAACCATTTTGTCTTTATTGATTGAAGACTAGGCCCTACTGATATATACTCTGAAATAAATCTGCAATTCGTAAGTAGGATGAAAGAATTGTGTTATATTATAATCGGTACTATAGGGCCGGGTCTAACATCAAATAAAGTTATTACCACAAGTATATTCCACATGAAGGTCAGGAATTAAGAAAAGTTCGTGGTTAAGACAGCGATCAAAAACAATAATAGGCCTAGCATTATGATAAAATAGTAAGACCACTCGTGATTGACTCTGGCTTACGTCACATCTCCTGCATTTAGTTTTCCAACAGGGGTGGCGCCAGTTGGGGCTGGAGGCAGTGCTCCGTCGAGGAGAAAAGCACAATTATATGTATTTCTTACATATTAGTAGACGCTATAATCGATTAAATATGCATTTAAAACTATAAACTGTCATAGTTTAAGGGGGCTTCGGACGCTTAATCACTTCCGAGAGATTTTGCGCAAGAGCTGCCCACTTCGTTCATTCTTTTTCTTTTATCGGCAGGACATTGCAGCGATTTACAATAATCTTGTAAACGAGGCAAACTTCCCATGCTGATCTAGTGGTGAAGCTTCTCTATTTGATATTTTAGTCTTATGCATAAGCGGATTCAGGGAATAAAGAAAATTTTAAGTCTGATAGTGCCATTTCCGGCCATCTAGAGGTGCCATGTAGCCATAAAAATTGTGTGGACATATTGTGGAGCTGATGTGATCTTCTAAACCCCCACGGGTAAAGTCCCCCTTGCGCCCGGTCTATTACGTATTACTGGATTCTCATGGGGGGGGGGGGGTGAGTTTAGCGCATGCTATCAAATACCGTATTGTATTTGTATTCACTTAAAAAGGCTCACAATAGTACTTACAGTGCCATATTTTTTAACTGATTATGACTTATGACTAATAGAAATTCGGAATTCTTCGCCACTTACGGGGGCTCTTAATAGACGGCGAGACTATGTTAATAATAAAATAATCTTCAATACGAGCATATGTATGACATCAGGAAATCTATTGTAATGTAGAATTATATAGCCTACTGTAGGCCTAACGCCGCCGATAACCGCTAACTGAACGATGCTCGTGGTACGTTACAACCAATTATTTTCCAAAACAGTAATAAGTCTAAAATATTCAATACAAAATAAGTAGCACAATTTTAGATAAAATGTAAAGTTTATTTCAAATTCAAAATCAAATTACAAAGCTAGATACTGAATGCGGACACACAGAACAACACACGAAAAATAAAACTGGGGACTAGAAAAAAAAATGCAAGAATATAATACTATAGTTATTACGAGAATCTTTATCTTTACTTGACTCAAAATCTAATTTGATCTAAAATAAACTGTTTTAATCATTGTTTGTTTGGTATAAATGGAAATTTGAAAGATCAAGGTGATAAAAATGCAGAAGTAAAACTAATACAAATAACGGAACACCTTAAGTTATCATCTGCTACATGTACATCTAAAATACTTTACTACGGGAATGTATAAAAATGGATGTTATATTTATCAGAATTAAAGCTCTACCTGTAAACCAAAAACTATTGTTTGAGAAGGTTTTTATAAAGTGTTGTACACTTTAACAACTGCCATACTTTAAAACTTTGGAGCAATCGATATTAGATAGTGATACGTTGCTTCAATGGTGGCTCGATGTATGTAACTATAAATGGCTGTATATAAATCCATGTTATTATTATCATGATTAATTTACCATTATAAATTTATTTTAATTATAATACATTAAAATCCTATTTAAATCATACAAATTATGTATGGTACTGTTTTTGTCTTTTTAAAAATTAGAACATAACACTTTCAAGGACGGTCTTTAAGTATTACACATCATTATTCCAAGGAATGACAAGTTTAAAAAATTCTTTTATAAATAGTTCAATTTCAGTGCTTGGACAGGATTGCACTACAATGGACGGTTTAGTCGATTTTAAGGCAGAAATAACACTTTACAGGAGAAAACGTAATAACACACTATCTTATAACACACTTAAGTCAGGAAGACTTAAACAACTTTGTCTCAATTCAATGGTGTATTTATAAAGGATACCATCAATAACATATGTTGTTTTACATACATATAAATTATCAATGTCATTATTGTTATTGTTATTAATATTGTGTTATTGGACGGTTAAGTATTTGAAATATAGCAGTAAATATCATTGAAACATGATTATACAGACTGGATTTATCAACAATAATTTCACCTTTAAAAATTTGAATAAAATCCCAGGAATGTAATTGATTTATTCTTAATTACCTTATATGAAAATATTACAAATATTTTGTATATTTGTGTGAATGATGTTTAAAACTCAGGCTTCAATTAAGTGAAATTGTATGCCACTCATTGTACTGATAATATAGAGTTTTATCTTATGTTTATGTATTAATGACAAGTGTTTTAAATACCACAATATTAGCTATGAATATATATACAAATAAAAAGTATTTTTTTTCTTTAAAATCCTCTTATTTGCATGCTCCTTACCTAAAATATTCTACACACCTATAAAAAAAATACCAATAATATATTTCCTATTATACAAATATGTACCTCAAAATGTAAGATATTGTTAATTTACTTACATATTAATTTGGATTTTAAACTCAAGTGCAGGTAAAATATCTGTTAAAGTTGCATTGATACAAATACTTGCAAATTATACGCTATGTAAAGCCCGGTACAGAATATCAAATTTTATTTTACAAAAAAACTGTTGTATGCCCATATATAGTCATGATGTGCCTATATATGGTCATGATGTGCCTATATATAGTCATGATGTGATGTCATCATGACCATATTTAGGCATCTCACATGTTTTTGTCAAATAAAATTTGAAAGTGTGTACAGGGATTTAAAGACAAAATTACAAAAATCAAAGGTTTATAATGGAACCTATTCCTTAACGTTTTCCATAACTTCTTTCCTGATTGGATAATTACCTCATTTAAAATACACATACTAATTAGAATTTATGGTAACTTGCACTGTATATATTTTGTCTCTTTGTATTATACATTAATCTTGGTAATACTTAAATATAAGCAAAACATAGAAAAAGATGACCTTGTACATTTGTTTGTGACACTCATACTATTTGTACTTAAAACTCCATGCACACCATAATAGTTTCTTGAGTTAAAATATTGTGAAATTATTAATATAAAATGTAAAATAAAGTAACACATTGATCAACAATGCTTTCAAACGTATTTCGAGATCATGAAGTAGGAAACGCCACATATCATAAAACACCATGTTATAATAGCACAAGCGCCCTTAATAAAACTGATATTTGTTTTCAAAATCTCAATGTAATTAAAATAACCCAATTGTTAAGTATTACAAATGTGTGGTATAGAAAATGATATGAACTGCAAGCAGGCATTAATACAAATAGCATTAAACTGAATATATAATTACAATTTTAAAAAAGATTATTAATTGGGAAAAGTCACATATTAGAAAACAATAGACGTGATTCATTTATCATACAAATTAAACATTTACATAATCTATATTTGAAAAAATAATTGAGGCGTTAGGTTAAGAATTAAAGGTGGGTATCAGCAATAGAAATTCTTTGCAAACCATAGGGGTCATCGGGGTCATTCGGTTTGCTATTAGGAACAGAGTCACGAGATACATTGCGCCAGTCACTAAGGCGTGACGTGGACCGATGTTCGGAGAGTCCATCATCTATGTTAGGACTGTAGGTGCCACCGGTCTTTAGGGCAAAAATTAAATCATCAAAATCTTGCGAGTCTGTTTCGTCCCTATCATCAACTTGTAGTGGGAACACAGGATTTTGATGGAAGGAAGGCGTTGGGTTCACCTCGACAGGCGGCACTGGATTCTGGTTGAATGGTGTGGGTGCATATAGGTTCCCATTCTGAATTGATGGCCGTTTGCTTCGTTGGCTTTGGTGACTTCGTACACTATGATGGCTCTGGTGGCCAACAGACTGGACATCCCATTCCAACTACAAATATAAAAATCAAATATAAAAATCAAAAGTAAATAAATACCAACAATAATACATTTACAAATCCAGTACTGCTAAGTCTATTTTAGCAGCTTCAAGCACCATATAAACCAGATTAAACCATCAATTTAGAGCTTTAATTTATTCTTTCTTACCATGTCAAAAATGGTAAAACCCTCTCTTTGCATTCTGTGATAGAGAGCGTAACTGCATATAAATATATATGCCTGCCACGGCTGTTAGAACAAAAAGTATGCGGTATGGCATTAATCTGTGTTAATGATCTTGAAGAACATTCTGCCATTACTATAAGCAATACTACTACTACCGTACTACTTTTACTAATAGAGAGCTTTCGTTTTGCGCGATGACGTGACTTTAGAACAAATTCACAGATTTAACCAAATTGCGTCTTAGAATCCACTTAACGAGAAGTTAACATTTTCGCATGCGCCGATGGAATATTAGTAACGTCATTATGTTCTAGATGCCACCGCGTCATGTAATCAAAAGCTTCCTCATACTTTATACTACTACTACAACCGATGGACCTAAAATTACTTAGACAAATATGGCAAGTAGCGATAAATACAGTACATAGATATTAAAAATGACAAAGGATACAGAAAATAAAAATGCTTGCAAACCATTAGATATACAAAGACAGGACTTACTGTATTATAATAAGCAGACATATTGGCAAACAAAAGTAGCAAAATATAGTACAGTATACTGCTACAAAGAACAAAAATGTCAACCCTATAACTGTACACGTGTACCAAATATCTAAAAGTTAGTAAAGAACTGAATACTATAATTGGCTACACCAATACCATAACACCGAACTAAGTATTTAGAAAGTTAAAAAAATGTTTAATACAATAATTACAAAAACACAAACATGAGACGCAGTGACAAACTCAGGCTAGGCATCATTAAAATGTTTGTCAGACCCAACAGAAATTGTATAATCAAACAATATCTGGGCCTGTTACTAGGGGTTACTCTGGTTTAGCCAAACCCCTCCTTGAGTGAACCGTCATCTGACAGATACACCAATCCACTAAATATAATAGTGCTTATGCCTGGCTTAACACTTAAATTAACCCAGAATATTGAAATTTATAATTGATAGAATACATATTAACAATATATACATAAAATAAAGAAGATTACACAACTACAAAAACTAATACATTAATGTTGTACTAACAATTAAACAAAAAGAATTAAAATGAAACTGGGTAAGAGTTAACTAGCATTCAACTAAGTAGTACACATAACACATAGCCATCAGTACACTTGCGTATATTACACGTAGGGATTGATACACGTTGCACACATACACAACACATACACTACATGTGATGCACATGTCAAGAGGAAAGTCACCTTTTGTGATGGGTGGGAAATTTGAGAGATGGAGGAAGATGGCCGTACCTGTTGGTAAAACCAGTATAAAATTTATTTGACTTTTAAATCAAAATTATATAGCAACTTACTTGAAATTGTATCATTTGTTATTGTATATTAGAGATGGCGCCAGGATTTGCCTGACGAAAGCAAAGTGGGAGTGGTCGAGCTTTGATTAAAAGGTTTCGAAAGTGGTCCAACGAAGACCCACAAATTTTGACGATTTAGGGGTTTCAAAGGCTTATTCAATCGATTTTTGTATAATATACACCCCTGTTGTATATTATTAACTTAAAGAAACAATTAATATGCAAACTAAAAAAAAATAATATAGGGCAATGTTATTACATATGTCTAAACTGTGTGTTCTCAGCAACATATATAATGGCATAAGAAATGCTACTTTTGTCCTCTGTGATGTTTTCAAGACAAACTTACTTTCATACGTGCAGGTGAAAATGATGAATGCAGGTGAAAATGTAATACAGTACACAACCCCGGCAGTCAGACCTCTTGCCATTCTATAACTCTTTGCTTTTAGACTTAAATATACTGTAAAAATATTGTTATTTATCAACAATATATTGATCATTATATGAAGTTTAATATATAACTTACATCTTCATGTGCTAACATGGCTAATCTAGCCTGATCTGCTTTTGAAAGAGATGTTCTGGATTCCTTGTCCATACTCAAGGCAGTTGCTGTTCTATCAAACTGATGGTTCTCCAGGAGCGTGACTGAGTTATCATAGACATAGTTGGGTGAGTAGTTGCCTTTAGAGGGCCGGCAAAGCTGATTCCGTAAAACCGTGTAGATCAGGAATACGAACAGTCCCTGCAAAAAAATTATTATGTAATCAGCCTGTCAGTTGATAGTAACATGGAGGCAGCAGTGGTGGTGCCAGAAATTTGCCAAACAAGGGGCCCGACATGTCCGACGGAGAGGTCCGAGCCAAGAGGCTGATGAGGCCTCGATTGATGGCCCGGAATAACAACTCCCTTTTTTTAGGGTTCACAGGGAGAGTTTTTATGGCTTTGTGTGGTCCAAAATGTGCTTTTAGACCACAATATTAGGGATTGGCAGTCAAAATAACATTATTTGGATAGGCAAATTATTATATTCCTAAATTTTGATCAGACGACCTAGTCGTGCGTCGGACCACATCGGGACCCAGGCCTATGCCACTGGGAGGGGGAATTCCCCCTGCTCCACTACAGGGAGGCAGGATGTATAGAAGCTGATTTCTGGTTACAGATGATAGCAAATGAAGTGGAGAAAAATGACAAACAGAATACACAATAGTGTGTCGGAAAATGGGAGGAATAGAGGAAAACTAGAGAAGAGCCAAGACAAGCAAAGAGATAATAGGAGGAACAAAACTGAGAATGAAAAAAAAAGGAAAAAAAAGTGAAAAAAATAGATCAATAGAAACAAGAAAGAAAAGGAAAATTGAAGAACAAATATAAGAGTGATGCAACAAAAGATGAAACAAGTAGAGAAAAAACATAAGAAAGAATGAAAGGTGATAAAACCAGGAATTAATCAATACAAACAAGAGAAGAAAAAAATGAAAGCAAAAAGACAGAACGTAGGAAGTAATTTTCTAATAATAATTGATGCATTACCATGATTACGTTGAAGAGAACAAGAAGAATAAGCATCCACTGTTTACTGTAGTACATGTGAAGACCGCCAAACAGCCAGGTGAAAATCAACAATGTCCAGAAAATCAGTAGCAGGCGAATTTCTAGTGAGCAACAAATATTAGAATAAATCAGTTTAATTCATATCTTATTATTATTATAATTATAAATAAAATTTATTATTGTAAATTGAAATTCATTTTTTGACTAAACCACAATAACAAGTTTTACAGCATGTTGTGTGCTGTCAGACTGTATTTTGTATAACAAATTCATCCACCCAAAAGAAAAGAGTTCCCATTGCATTAATTATAATTTGGAATTTACACAATTAACATATAGAAATTATTTAACTGAGCATCAAAGGAAGAATGGTTGGTAGGAAAGACAAGACACCAAATTATATAAAACCGATTTTGTGATATTTCGAGGTCAAGATATTAAGTACCATTATACTACCATACATTATCATACATTATCAGAAATCTGTAGAGCAATTCAAATTTTATGAATAAATAAATATCATAGGATTAACTGAAAACCAGAGCCCAGAAATATAATTTTCAACATATCAAGACCAAATGAAGGGGAGGGGGATGGGCCACAGATGGCTACCAGAGGGAAATGAGAGGTTTGGGATTGGAAGAGTAACTTACTGGTTTTACACTTGACTGGAGTCTTTGAGATTGATTCAGATACATGACCTGAACTTGCTAAAATTCACCAAAATAGTTTATACCAAGAATGTCATTTAGAAAATGAGGTATTAGTTGGGATTTTGGTTTCTTTTTTTAAAAATATTAATTGAAATACTTAAATACTGTATATGTTATGATAGAATATAAATACAGATGACAATTTGAATTTTAGAGATTCACATTATTATTTTTTTAATGTTTACGATTAAAATGTTTAAAATTGAATTGATGATATCATACTATTATTTTTTTCACAAGTTGATGTCAAAAATATTATGTACACTATGAATATTTAGCCAGTAAATTGCCTATTTAATTTCATAGCATTTTCATGATGATTAGAGAGGGCACTCTCCAACGCTGATCTTAATGACATGCAAATTTTAGTTTTAGCCAGTAAAATATACACGAATTCGAAACCTACCTGTTGTATTATAGCTTCCCATGTAAAGGTCATCGTATCGCTTCCACTGAGGTTTTACGAGATACGCCTGAATGAACACCGTCACCACAGCCATTATGCAAATTACTACTGGGCCAACAGCACTTGCAAGCATTGCATTGACATTTGGCATGAAACAACTACAAAATAAGAAATACATAATGTTCATGCTAATACAAGATACAAGATATGTTATTGGTCAACATACTCAACTTGGTTCATATGAAATTTGTTTTCCAGATGCTTCAACAGATACATTAATACAAATAAAATCTGAAACTACAACATATAAATCAAGACATTTTGGATAATAATAAAGGATAGTGTAAAGTTCAGATGGTTTGTCAAAATATATACTAAGTCACTGGTGAGGGTTTGACTACCAACCTCAACTATACTTTTTTGTGCAATTATAATCTTTGTAAGAAATAATAGGAATGGAATATACAGACGTAATATACATGAAAATAAGCAAGTCCTTTTCGCTTACATATCACCATTTCCATGAACATCTCCATAAACAACCTCAGGATTGGTTAAATTGATGAGTAAGCTTTCTTGATGGAATGGCCATTCAAACACTGAGTAAGTTATTATGATGTATGCAACAACTATAACAGCTGGTGTACCTATCAATATTAATACAAAGCAAATATAAACTTTAAAATAAGTTAATAATAATTTAATCAATTAATTAATTCATTTGAGTATAAAAATATTAGGACATAATTATGATTGCAAATTTCTTTCTTCCTAAACGAAATCATAAACAACAAACTGACTTAAATATTATGACATACATTTACAAATAATAATTCATGTCATATTTTGATTTATGCAATAATTTTGAAACTTACCCCATCCAAGAACAAAAAATAAAACATAGAACCGATCTGTATGCTCATCATTCAACACAAGTATCTTCCATAAATTTGTTGACTGAAATACAAAAAAAATATTAGTTTTATATTCAAATAAATTCCATCTATAAATATTACTGGTTTCTAAAAAAAAATCTTTCTCTGTTTTTCCATCTTTAAAAATAATCCCACACATTCATTCCTGATTTTCCATATAGAAATGCTACTTCCTGCTTGAGTATAAATATCCTCCTTGAAATTCCATATGGAAATGCTACACCCCTGACTAGAAATTTTTATTCGGTATGTAATTTAGCCCAGTCCCTTACTTTAGTTGAATTTCTACTGTACCTACCTGCACAAGCATCCATATGAACTGGGCGAGGAAGAAGTAATGCAAGATGGCACCCAAGGCTGCACATGATTCCGATGACACATCATTGCTGATGTAGGCAGAAATCATAAACACAATCTACAAAGCAAAAAAAATAAGCCCTCAAACTCCAGTTCCAATGGATTTTTTTTAACAGTGAAGAGTTTTATTAACATGCAGTTCAGTGAATAAAAGGGAGCCTTTGATTGAGATTGTAGAATGGGAACACAGAACCGATTCACTCATCCGTGACTGTCATCACTTGTGTTCTACATTCTATTTCAAATCAATTTTGATGTTCTACAGCACGTATGCTGAGACTGATGCAAAAATGTTCACTATAATACAGTCCTCATTCTGACCTGAACATAGATTCGGCAAACAGCTGTTCCAGATTTTAGGATAGAATGTTCAGACATGCTCAGATAACTATCACGTGTAATCTAACTGAATTGAACATACCTCTGTTGCCATGACAGAAAATATAAGATGCATGAGCAGCTTAGCAGCAAACATTGTGTGTACTGAGCAGACATGGTGAGCCAACAGCGCCATCAGGAGGCAGATGATGGTAATGAAACATGAGACATAAATGTAGATGTTGTAGCCAACCAGATCATCTGTTTCTGCTAAGACTGCAAACTCCGATAGATGGTTACACTGGCACTCAACATAACCGGTTTCAATTTTCTGAAAACAAAACAAGTATTATAATTATATAAATGACATTATGAGATCTGATGATAAATGTTGTAAGAGTAATTTTGTAAGTGTAATTTTGTGATTATAGTGATATTTAAGAAATTGATTAAAGGGTATCACAATAACTACATTACTAAAGTGTCATAATGGTGTATGGTAAAAGTAGTGCTGAATACATCACTTAAGTGTAATTTTGAATATGAAAAAAATATGTTATTTAAGTGTTACTATGGGGTATAATCATGCTTATTTTTACGTTTGCTTCGCAGAAAGTTGACAACCATCGTTCTGAGGGCCCATTGAAGATGACACACTCAGCCCCGAGTGGTGTTACGCGAGCATCTTGAGTGTACACACGGTATTTAACTTGTTCTACCAGATTACTAAAATCATCTTCACGTCCTCTAATTGCTACTGACAAAACCTGAAAGAAAGAACATAAAAAAATAATTGACAGATTTTATCAAATTTACCAAATTGTGCATAATTTTGGGAACTAAAGTATACAGTATTGCTTCAAGTAAAGAAAAAAGACAAATAACAGCTTTCTGCCACTCAGTGTGATGAGGTCTGGTTCCTCTGCTCTAGTCTATTTCCAATTTTTTTTCTCAGTTCCTTTGGTTAGCAGTAGTATTTATTAGTTAGATTTGGAGTGTAGGTCGTCTCTTATACACATCTAGATGTGTATAAGAGACAGGTAAATTGCCTATTTAATTTCATAGCATTTTCATGATGATTAGAGAGGGCACCTGTCTCTTATACACATCAGGCTCTGTAAGTCCATAAAACCATTGCTGGGAGCTATACTCAATAAAATGAATATCTTCACACTGGCTTGTTGGAACGTCTCCTCTCCCAACGGAGTTATCTTCAATGAGTAAGTTACTTGGTAGAGAGAATACATTCTTCCCTCTGCAAGAGAATCGCATGAAATGTCAACCATTAAATTAATTTAGTTTAAATACTGACTTATAATATATTGTTAAAAATAAGTCAGTATTTAAATATTTAAAATAAAGTTGATGACCACGATAACAAAAACAATACTTATGATAATGCTATGATGATTACTATAAGATGAAGATAATGAATCTTTGAGAATGAAACCAAAACCCACCTTCCATTAAATGAATGCCCATTAATTCTGTCAGGCAGCCATCGAGCAGCTTCAACATATGCAAGAGGGCAAGTGTTCAAGACCATAGGATCAATTGTCTCACAGCTTGCATCTGTTAGCAATGTGTATGTAAATGAGGTGAAAGATTCAGCCAATCCATATGCTCCTCTACAATAGAAAAATGAATACAGAAATTAGTGACAGTATAACAACTTGTTGTATACTTCACAGTTCACAATCGATAAGAAAATGAACAAAGGCAAAAGAACAGAATTTATGAACGATTTAATGGCAGAAAATATTATCAACAAAAGCAAATCCAGAAATTCATGTACCATTCAAACGAATAATCTCATTATGAGTCTTTAGTAATTTTTGAAATTGTATGTGTTTCACAAGATTTGACCCCAGGTCAAACTAAAAATACAGCCAAGAGAAATAAGAAAACAACTCACCACACCATACGACTTATAATTATTCTATTGTATAATAACGGTGAGTATTAAATTTACATTTTTATTCCAAAATTAGAGACAAATTTGTATTAAATATTAATCAATCATCTCTCACCTGGTATCTGACCTGTCTGGATCCATCAGCTCACAATACACATCCATCATATCTTCTTGGAGATTACCTGGCAACCTATTAACAAAAAGGAAATATACAATACAGTACATAACAATGCAATGACTATAACAGACATAAGGTAGGACACATAACAACAAAACATATATCAGATGCTATGCAGTTTTTGTATGTTACTTCCATGGTACAACTGAACATACAAAAAAATCCTCATTGCAAACCAAAATTTACTGCTAAAATGTTAGAAAAAATAAAAGAAAAAAAGACGCTAATATGCATATTTACAATCTTCGTTGACCCTCTCCGATGACATTATTTAAAGTTTCGGTAGTTACAGCCAGTTGTTCATCTGTCAACTCATCCTGAATTTGATTCCTTACAGACTGCAGTATTCTACAAATCAGAATAAAATAAGAATGAAAATTATTATAATAGATTCAAATAATATGTTTTGACTGACTTCTGATGTACTTGATCAATGTGACTGATTTATTGGATCAGAGAGTAGGTAAAGCTTAGTCAGTTCAACTGTTGGTATCCACTATTTGTGAACTGAAACATAGCTAACTTGCGTTCCTGGTTGATCCTTTGTTGCTGCAAAGGGCCAAAATTAATAATGCAGTCTTCCAGAAGAGATGCCATTGATCAATGTGCTTCCAGTTGTGGAAGCGGTTTGGTGCAGTATGAATGTTTGGGTTTCCCAATCTCAAGGTTGGGGTTTCAATCCCTCGCTGTGCATTTTGCTTGTTTCCTTGAGCAAGACACTTTATCTGCATTGCTCCTCCACCCAGGAGTATAAATGGGTACCTAAGGAGGTTCGTCCCAATTACTGTGGTAATAATGTGGAAAAGCACTCTGAGACTTATGTATAGAGGGCTATATGAAAACTTACATACTATTATTATTATTATTTAGATGTAGGTGTGTGTTAGAATCTTTACTCACCTGTAAATACCTTCATCAGATAGATCTGTGAGAGCCTGTTTCCAGGTGTCCCATACATCATTAGTGCTCTCGTCTTCTACAAGTGTTATGTATGCAGTTCTCTCCTCTTCATCAACACTATAAACAATACATAATATTATGCTATAAATTTCTATTAAAATCACAATTGATTAGGAATTGCAGTTCTAGTGAAGAGAAAATATTAGTTTATTGTTTCTTCATACATATAATTATTTTACCTTGCTCCACCTGTTGGATTAGACAGAACAACTTGGAAGAGCTTTGGCCAAAGATCTGAAGATGTGGGTGTCGAGGACAAGATAGTAATGTCAATTGATGCACTCCTCTGAGAAAGCAAAGAAATGGCCAATCAATCTTTAAGTCAACAAAATCAATATTGTGTATATAATATATTATTGATTATAATAAATTCAAACATTAAAATTGAAGATAAAATGAGTTACCTGTCCAACAGCAAAGGGGATGACACCTTCGTCAGGTGCATAATCAGCATATTCAATGGCGGGCTGAGTGTTAACACCACCCCACTCCAGGGAGTCTGTTAGCTGCCTAGTACTCCAGCCTATTGTCACCTCCTTGGTACTGCCACCCCCTCTTAGTACTGTCAGGCCTATGAGGTTTGATTTGTAGTATGCTGATTGTATTCTGTAATTAGAAGTGTAAACAGTCATTTAAAGTTTAGGTTCAAATCCCTGTGATAGTCAATTTAAGAGGCTCTGAGTTTTTATAGATGTAAATTAGAATATGCAATGAATCACAACCAATTGCCTGAGTTATACATCAGGATTTTTACAGACACTTAGTGTAATGTACTATACATATGGACAGTACATTATATTATTATTATAGTTATGATTAAGTCAGCTTGATAAGTAAAACTCCTGAATAACTTAAGAAATAAGATTATAGTGATAGTACCTTGTTTCTGTAGAGAACCTGAAGATTCCATATGGATAGTCACTCTCTAGCATTGTAATGTTTGCATATCGTGCACTTTCCTGGATCACAGCCCCTTGCCCAACTGAGAGCAATTCCACAAGGAAAGAGCTGGAAAACTCTGGTTCCTAACGAATGAAGAAAAATTGTAAATATATCAGACAAAAACCAATGAAAATTAAATTCATCATTCACATTCAACTTTTTATTGCAGAAAACAATAAGAATATTAAAATTCTAACATATTTAATTACCATACTAAAAAAATTTATTCTAACATGTTTTCAAAACTTACAGTATCATCTTGTAATGTGATTTGTAGTTCACACTGGGGTTGACCTGCTATGCAAATTATTTGACCTTCAGTTGCTACAAGCTGATCTACTAAAGAATCATCATTTGTTGACGTATCCATACTGCGGGCAGCTTGCCAGTTTACTGTCACGTTGTCAAAGAATGCAGAACCTCTGTTTAGGTAAAGAACAATGGAGGGCGCTACATCCTCATCTACAGTTGTGTACATGGAACCAGTGTCAAAACCTATTTCACCATTGTGGTCATCACTACCAGCGATGGTTATCCGTGTAAAGCCCTGAGGAATTAAGAAGTGAGCACATTTAGTAGTATCAGTTGCAGAAGAAATAGTAGCTGTAGTAGCAGAAGAACTAGTATAGCGGTAGCAACAGCAGTAAATAGCAGATGGCCTAATAATTTACCTGTTCTCCATTATCCGATTCTCCTTGAGCAATTCTTGCACCTGTAGATGGTGGTACAAGGTAAACAAAGAACACCTCAGCTGGTTCAGCCTCAGTATCATCAAACAATTTCACCTGAAATGTTACTTCAGTCTCTCCTTCAAAGAAGATCAGTTCCTCCTCAAATTCCTCATAGTCAAGGTCTTTTGTGGCTGAGTTGGCATTCAACTTAGCATCTGCCAAGGCATCACTTATCGTATTGATGGTATCTGCCGGTGGACCAATCAATGCATCTTCCCACATCTCGCCTCCACCGACTGTCCTAACAGTGATACGTTCTTCGGTGAAAGTGCCACCTAGAGAGCAGACATTTTAAACATTTAAAAAAATATTCATATACAGTATTCATTAATATATTGTAAGAAAGATTACAGTGAAAAGTTAGATTGACTAAAAAAGTACATTGACTAAAGAAGTACAAATGAAGAAGGCATTGGAGATGTCAATGTCTGACATGTGTAGGGTTCCATTTTCTTAATTTTAAAAACAATGCAAATATTGGTTAATGCAGGTTAAGTATTAACAAAATAACAAACAGTTGGCCTACAATCATCCTGATATACATTATAAAAATGTAATCATCTTCAGTTTACCATCCGTGATATGTGACTACATTAACTTATTTTTAATTATTTTCCAGCTTTTACCTGCTCTGATGGCCTTGAGGGTTACTAACTTAAAGGAGCCATCGATGCTTTCTGTTGTCTCCACAGATTTTGGCCTTAAGTAGATGACTCCATACGGATCATTACTGGCCTCTATTGTTACCTCAGCAACGGGGTACAGTGAACTGATCCGTGGACTAAGACCTATAATAAGAGAACATGCTCACTGATTATCATCAAATGCTATAATTCATAATGATAATTATATTCATATAATGTAAGATGATAGCTAACAAAGGGAAAGCTTCCCTGTACATGTGTCATTCACTTGAACTACGGTAAAGCACATAAGACAATAATCAATGGAAAACATTAATTTTAGTTATTTTATATTAATCCTAAATAACCTGATGGAAAAACGTGTGTGCTAGAGCAGACACTCTATAGAGTGCATACCTCCACCCTGTGCCTGAATACTGAACAATACACAGGCCGTGTCTGGGCGATTCCATTATTTTCTTTTATGCTGAAGGGTGAAAAATTAAATTTCTGTGACTTTGACCTTGTCATTTGATCTTTTCTTCCCAAAATGTATTCCCCTATTTCTTAGGTTATTATGTAACATCTTCCTAAATTGAATGATGATCTATTTGTTAGTTTTTGCGCAATCTTTTTAACAAACAGACAGACAGACAGCAGTGATACAGCCTCCTTGGCGAGGGTAATAACATGAATAAGAGTGACATGTACTGGTTCAGGTGCCTTGATCCTTTAGTAATCAATATGTCAAATGGAATAGAATCTTCAACTCACCTGATGTAGAAGCAGTTGAAATTTTTGTACTGGTGATGTTGACAAAGAACATCTCTGGCAGTTCAGGCTTCTCCTCCTCCAGTAATGTGATAAAGATTTTTGCAGTGCGCTCCATGTTGCCGAGTGTAACAGCACCATCAACAATCTCCTGGTAGTCTTCGCCAGGCACAGCAGTGAGGGCGTATGTAACATAACGAACCAGGATGTTGTCAAAGGTTCCAAGACTCCTCTCCAGTGTTAATGAAATCTGGAAATAAAAAGATAACAGATTTAGAATTGCACTACGTTCATACGACATGTAGTTCATTCATTATTTTAAGATGTTATGACAGGCTTTTCAGAAGTAGAAAACCAAAATGTATCAAAAATTTTCCTCACCTGACCATTTACTTCAGTAACAGAAACTGACTGGGAATCAGCAGCAAATCCAACAACACCATACTTGTCAATCTCAGCTGTGATGTAATTATCTTGTAGACGAGCGCCTCCATCTACAGAGGTGTCAATCATGTTCAGAAACACCGCAAACAGTTCAGTGGTAGAGGTGGATGGATTAAGCTGAATTAAAAAAAATAGAATGGTCAGCTTGTGGTTCAAAAGCTCGACCACAAGGTTCATAGACTGAATGGGAAGCGCTACGCCAAGCCGCCTTTCCTTACACCCTCTATGCCATCAAATTTCTTACCCGTATAGATATTGTTTCCAGTGCTTGTCCATCATCAAACAGCACCTGGCCATTGCTAGGGATGATGCTACCTGGAGTAAATCCAGGTGGTAGTTGTCCAGGTGGGTAGCCAGCAGTCCATGACACACTCATGCTGCCATAGGAACCGATTCTCTCAATGGTGAGTAGAGTTTGGTATGTCTCTGTAATTGGTATTTTAAATATATCACAGTTAAATATATGTATCGTGCTACAAACAGAATGGAAGTATCACTTTAGTATAGTTTAATTGAACCTACCACGTTACACACATTTTGTAGGTTCCTAATTTATACTTTTATATTACTGAAATAATATGTTTATGCCTTAAGTAAATAATCATGACCCAACCAGGGTAAGTACAAGTAACTTGAATATTCTATATTTACCTTCGTTCACATCAGTTGCAGTTGGATCAAATCCAACATATGAGTTTGCCACTTCTTGTGTAACAAAGATAGTGGCTGAGCCTGCACCAGGCTTTATCCTAGGAGGAATGTAAGCTACAAAGAAAAAATCAATTATAGTAACCATAAATCTACTTTATAAAAATATTGATATTAAAATATATTTTTGGCCATTACAAAATATTGCTAACTTACGGACTCCACTATAGATCACTGATGTCAATGTAATGGTGAATGAGCTGTCACGAGCCAGGAACACATTGTTACTGACTAATTGGATTTCAGCTGTACACTGTTAATGACAAAAGAAAAAAAATGACATTACAATAGTTGGTCTACCCAGTTAATTACTCAGAAATATTCTGTCATATCATAATTCTGATTTCAAAAGTTAGTAATTCAAATTAACTTTTTTAGCAATAATATAAAATTTAAAATATGTTTACATCTGTATTTACGAACCTCTGATTGGCTATTTGCACAGACTACAGTGGCAGTGTCTCTGATATATTCAATTCCTGGCTCAGCCTGAAATAAATGAAGAAGATTCTCCAGTATTTATTCACTGGCAAATAATCTACTAATAATATTCTAAAGTAAGCTATCAATATCAACATTATGACCATCATTATACTAACCACCATTACACTCATTATCAAAACCATTCTTATTACCATCATCATAAAAATATCATTACCGTTAGCATAAATATTGTCATAATCATCAGTACCATCATCAATCATTATCATCATCATGTTCATCATTATCCTCATCATTACCATCATTATCATTACATTATCAAAATCATTGTGATCATCATTTGCACCAATATACAGCACATTACCTGGTCATAACTAAGCGTGAAATCAACCTGCACTTGACCCTCAGTACCAGCAGAACGTGTAATCATAATACTGAGGAACCTTGTACCATCAGCTCTCATGGACACAGCCTGGAGTTCATCCTCAACACTGAACAAACCATGGGGGTCATCACTAGGGCTGAAGTTGAAAAAATAATCACATTGTTAAATACAAAATAGCTGTCATATGTGAACATTTATAGTAGGACAACACATAACTATGACAACTTATGTAATGATGTTACTCACTCAATAAAGAAGGTTGAAACATTGAAATCAGGGTCGATTTCAGCACCACCATCTACAGACTGCAAGATCACATTTAGTTCTTCTCTTAGTTCAGGTTCCTGGTCAGCAAGAATGTTAATAGTTATCTGCGAAGAGGCTATTCCATCAAGAATTTCAACTGAGCCATTAGAGGGCGACACATCAGTAGAAATATCACCAACAGTATTTCTAACATCCCAATGTACCTAAAAATGAATCACAGTATCAGACAACTAAGCACTCAATGGGTAAACCTTGAATCTTGTATTTGTAAGCTGAAGTATGTGAGTATGAAGTTTAAACAAAGCCTAGCCCAAAATGAAAAACAAAATGCTACTTATGGTGGCTCAATATCGTATACGATATAAATAACAAAAACTTCCATCTGATGTGCCGTGTAACTTCTATGAACCGACACTCAGGACAACATCGAAAGGCTGATACCTGGCTCTCCTAAGTAGAAGCAGCTGTCTCCCACTGAGGCAGCATACACAGCAGCATCACACAGGCCCAGTGGGCTTAGATAAAAGATGCGTAAAATTAAAGCCGGTTACAATAACACAAACCAAGCTTAACGCTAGAAAAATATAGCCCACACATACAGTAGCCAGACTACGCATGGGCACTATCAAAACCAAATCACTAGGTTCCGTCTGCAGAACCACGAAGCAAAGACACATTTAAACATAGAGTAGGTAAGCTTTCTTTCTATTCATCAATATTGCTCTGTTGCGAGAAGGAAACAAGGACATTGTTCATTCACACAAGGCGTATATAGGCAAGCTAGGGCAAGTCCATTATTTTTTCTTTTATGCTTGAGAGGTAAGTTCTATAGCAAACTTAGGCATTAATCGGTTTATCCAGGTAAGTATTCACAAAATAGACTGTGCGTTTAGCTTAACTGAACTATTCATACCAGAATATCGCCAATTGTTCCGTCTCGTCGTCTGATTGGAAACACTACACGGGAGCTTCCGGCGCTGTCCGCCGGTTCGCTGAATGAGCGAGTTTGCAGTGAGTCGGCATAGAATTGCACAATGCCATTAGGGTCTCCAAACTTCAGAATCTAAAGCAAAAAGAACAAAAATGTTAATATTTTTAGTCATGCAATCAAAATTGCTATGTGATGTAGCTATTAGCAATCTTTCACCCTTGTACCTAAAGCTAGGCTCCAGAGAAAAAATTAATTTTCATGTTACAACTGATTTTTGTAAGACACAAGAAGCACTGGCCAAAAATTTGGGAGTGGTTAATGGGGTAGAGATTTTTTAATATTTACAACATATCAAAGAAAAATTTTCCTCCAGATCCTGACTTTAAATATACATAAACTAAGCAAAATGAAACACCTAAAACAAAATGAAACACCTTATACTAACCTTAAGCTGAGCTCTGGAGCTCTCGGTGTTGACTTCACCAGCACCAACCAATTGGTAGACCTCTACAGTGTAGGTTTCCTCTACCTCTGGTCCAGGATATGGCTTCACAACTAGGGTGAAACTCCTTGCTGCCCTCTCTCCTCGAGCAAAGTTCAGTGAACCTTGAAGCTGGCCAGTTGATGTTGAGATGTCATTTGTTTGTTGGAGAACTGAATCAGAATTGGGGCCTAGGATTCTCCACTTCACCTGGAAGTAATTGAAAAACCACAACATTTTTAAAATTCACTCTAAACATAACAACTCAAAACATAAAAAATATTATATTTTCTCTTTCAGGATTTAAAAAAACAATATGTATATTTTCCAACAACTTGGCACTTGTTTTCCTAACAAGGATAACCAATTTGTTTTAATTAAAAAATTGTTTTCCTTTTACCTCTGTTCCAGTCAGATATTGATCGATTCCACCAGACAACTCTACTGTGAACACCACTTCTCGATTCAAAGATGGATTTGGTATGATCCGTGACAAATCTGATGGCACAAACCCAATCAAACCATCAGGTCCATCACTTTTTGCTATCGTCACAGTTGCTGTCAAATATTGGCCTAAGGTTGCGCCTCCTTCAGCCTGTGTAAGCCTAATCTCAAATGATTCAGCAAACTCTTTAATTTGGTCATCAATTATGTTGACGTTAATGTAAGCGGTAGATTCTCCATCAAGAAATATTGCCTCACCATCAGTTAGGATGTAGTCAACACCATTTGGAGTGGCACTGCCCCCAACTGACGTGAATCCAACACTCACTATACCAAAGGTTCCCTGGGTCCTTATCACAGGTACCATTGCTGTACCAACGCTTTCTTGCACTTGAGAATGAAGTAGAGGAAATAAATTAAGAATGATGACAAACTTAATATAAAATGCTGTTGCTAATTAGATTAAATCATAGGTCTGCTACTGATTGCAAGAACATGTTATGTAGATAAAAATATTTCACATCTGATCAAACATAATGTGGTGTTTCAATGTCTGAAATTCGACAGGCTCCACATCACCAGACAATATAACATCTGATCAAATATTGTCTGTTGAGTCTAACACACAAACAACTAAATCTCTGTCCACACTGCCAACTTTAGGTGACAAATACCTGTGATGTGCCTATATATGGTTGTGATGTGCCTATATATGGTTGTGATGTGACATCATGCCCATATATGGTCAAATCATAGATATCTGTATAATTTGATAGTGTGCACAGATCATATTATATAATTTTTTGATATCCAAATGCTTTCAGTCTTTGAACCCAGAACTCTGGAATTCAAAAGTGAGAGCCATAACCTGTATGAGCATTAACTGAGGACTGTCTGAGTAACCCACTCACCTACAAACACCAGTGCTTCAGGAGCAAACTCAATCACCCCTTCTGCATTGTCATTCTTCTCGATGATCACCGTCTTCACAGATAAATCACCAAGAACCGGAGGCATATCAAGTTGAAGGCCATCTTGGATGCTGTAGTCATTACCACTGAAAATTATAATATTTTTAATTTGTTACCATAATGCGAATGAATGGAAGATTTATATTCTATTACAAAAACATAAGTTAATATAAGCAATGGCAATGCCTTTCTAAACTTCCATACAAAGCCCTCAGCAAGAAAAGGTTCATGTATTTGTTGTTTAACAATTCAAGAAAATGTTTTGATGGTTACATTAGCAGTAGAATGGTCAATGGTCAAGCATTTTTATAGCACCTTCCACAATAAAAACTGTCTCAAGGTGGTTTTAAAGCACTACAAAACTACAATAAATTTATTGATGAACAGGCACGAATGCAAAGGGGGAAGGTGCGTACCCCTAATTTTGATATGGCGTCACCATCAATACTATGTACATGCAGGTACCTCAGCGTCTGTATGTGGGCTCTGGTAAATTCCACTGAGCAAAAAAATGAGAAGATATTGCAAACATTGCAAGCCTATCAATACTTACCTTGGTGAAAGTAGTTGGACAGAGGTGAGATTAACATGGAAAGTCTCTGGCCCTTCAGGTACATCATCAGGTTGCAGGTTGATGACAATGCTCTGTGTATCCACCCCATCGTTGAAGGTAAGGACTGCAAGAAAACAGGAAATATTGTAATAATTATGAGGACACCATTGGTAGAATTAAGTCTTACACTAAATTACCCTAGTTTATGATGCTATATACTTACACCCTGAAGCCGGGTTAAAATCTTGAATCTCTGATGCTGTGCCTGGTATAGTTGTGTAAATTACTCGGGCAATACCAATACTGCCTGCATTACGAACAACTTCTAATGTCACCTTTAAAAAGAAGAATAGAAATAATGCTAATAAAATTCAAGAAACAATGTACAGGGCTCAAACTTTCCATTATATTATAACTTTCATTAAAGCTAATGATTAACATAATAAATTTAAAGAATATATTTTTTCTAACAAAGATTAAATATCCAGCAAAGGTGATTAATTGTAATACTCATAAACCGAAAGGTCCACTGATTAATCTCAGATAAGAAAGTATAATACATACTCCAAGTATTGAAATACACGCCATCGTGTTGGGATTCTATATTTCGACATTAATTATGTCATCATCAGGAATGATGATGACATAATTAATGTCGAAATATTGAATCCCAACACGATGGCGTGTATGATGATGACATAATTAATGTCGAAATATTGAATCCCAACACGATGGCGTGTATTTCAATACTTGGAGTATGTATTATACTTTCTTGTAATACTCATGTTATTTAAAGCAAGACACTATTTCTGATTTGTGAACAACTTGATGGAATGACCTGATGAAATTTACCTGTAGGCTGTCCTCTGACACAACTACTTCCTGTTGACCTGAGAATTCAAAAACACCATGCGGGTTGTCACTGGCAACAACAGTAATGCTTGCCTCATCAGCATTGCCTGCATCAATGGTAGCTCCACCCACAACAGATGACAGACGGAGAGTGAACACTCGTTTCAACTCAGGTGTCTGATCATCCAAAGTCTTAAAACAGAACAAATGTAAAGTTATTATGGAGTACAGAATAGTAAAGAAAAATCTATGTGGCTTTGACATAACTGCATGTACAGTACAGCACTCTCAATATTGAGGCTCTCAAAACACATAGACTAGCTTAGTGTTCACAAGGCCTCATAATCTAGCTCCACCCCCAGAGGCTGGCTTTCAATTTACATGGCTTCCAGTTACCATTCCTTCCAAGGGCTAGCTTTGGGTTTAGGCCCAGTTACCTCTTGGCTTTACATACAAGACCTCTTTTCCAGAAGCTACCTTAGGATACACACATCTCCAGTTATTACTCTCTCATTCTTGGCCACACCAATGTAGACTGTATTACCTTAATAAGATTATTTACTAACCTGTAGCACAATGGTAGCATCACGCTGACCGTCACTAAATACAACAGAACCAAATGTTTGAGCAAACACACTGGCATCTCGCGGATCTAGTTGCCAATTTACCATAATCTCACCAAATATACCATTTCCACGTGTCAAGCTGAAGGTAAATACCGTTATTATATAATGTAAGTTATCAATTAGTATCAATTAATATTCTATTTCAAAGTCAGCTGATAATAAAGATTAGAAATTGTCGAGATGATTGATAATTAACTTTGTACTTACCTTACAATAGCTGAGCCATCGTACACTGACTGAGGCTCACCAATGAGGACTTGTCTTGATTGAGGTTGGATGGATACCAGCCCAGCTGACCCTGGATTGGCTTGGACAATAATCGTCAGAATACCTAAGAGGATAAAAACAACAATGAATCTGTAGCTTTTATAAATATTGTAATCAGAATGATGTTGCTTCTGATGATGGTGATGACAATGATAATGATGTCACAACGGTTTGTTGTTGTCCCCGAATTTGTCAGATTACTGACAATTAGTATAACATTCTGTGAAACCCCCCAAAAAATTATCCATCATTCTTTATTTTAACAATATATGAAAGCTTTATAGATACAGTATTGTATGTAAAATTATGATGCAATAATGATGTTTCAATTATAACAATTGTATTTACTAGCGATTAAAATGTACTGAGGCGTGACAGTTCACAATTATGTCAGATTTGGGGAAAAAACATCTTGTTAAAATCAGGAAAAAATGCTTAAAGATCTGTTCCTACCATTGACAGGTGAAATTTCAGCATCATCCGTTACCGAAGTGATAATAACCATGAACCTTTCCTCTCCTTCTAAAACATTGTCAGCAACTGCTCGCAGTGTGAAAGACTGACTTGTTACACCCTGAGGGAAAATAATAATATAATACTATCAATTACAATGTAATTTTTGTTGGTGGCAGTCTAAGCAGGTCATCATTGAAAACGATTTGTTATACAATGTGTCGTCATGTTGTGGTTTCTTGGAATTATATAAATATTGTATGCGCCTAACTTTTTTGCACACATTCTACAAACTAAATATCATTGAGGGTTAGATATATCAGAATGCTATTTCCATTGGAAATGGGTAAACTACAAATAATTCTGTACTCACATCTGGGAAAGTAAGTGTTCCGCTACTAGGTGTGATGTCATCAAACCCTGATGCATCCAGCTCCCATACTACGTCAACGATCCCTTGCTGACCTTGTGTGCGTTCAACAGTGATGGTAATAAGCCCATTAGCATCGGTGCTAGTTGTGGACTCTGCAACTGTTGCCTATAACAAGTAAAAACAATAATTAATGACAGCAGCAGCAGTGACAAAGACAATGGGGAAATCATGTTATATTAAGAGATTTAACTGAATTGCATGTAGACTTAACTCTATAAGACACCGACCTATTAATTTAAATGAACATTAAATAACAAGTTTCATAAATTATTTTTAAACCCAAATAATTACTGTATTTACCTGTGTGTTTGTGAACCCAAATAAGCCTTTTGGAGAATCGTTCTTCAGGATCTTAATAGTTACAAACGTATCACTTCCAAGAACAGCACCCCCTCTTGGGCTATTTAATTGGACAGTAAACAACTGCAATGAAAAAAGAATGAATGCTAACATATATTCCTCATGAAAATGTAATCTAAGTTATCATATACAAATTGAATTAACCAATTAAGTCATTTTACAAACAAATCTTTAATGCTATTACCAATCAATCAATCAAGCATATTTGCCTCTGTATAAATATATACAGCCAAATTACCATCTACATAAATACTCATCAATTATTGATTAATGTTTATTTATTTATTTATTTCAACAATATTTTGTGAGGGTGGTCCATCCAGCCGGGGCTGATCATTTGGGACCCTCAAATACATACAAAGCAAAAACAATAGAGTACAATTACAAAAACAAAGCAAATAATTAAAAGACATTAAATAGAATTAAAATAAACCTAATAAACAGAAAAAAATTTAAAACGTAATTAAAAAAAAACAAAAAAAACCAATAAATATCAAAGTTAAATATAAATTAAATATATATGTATTAAATTAAAGAAACAAGATAATTGAAGATTTAATATAATGTACATTCCAATAATTATAAATGAATACACATAACTAAAAGAATTTAAAAAAGAGAAAAAATTATAAAAGGCATATTTAGAAAATATTATAATAGCAATAAAAGTAAAATGTGATTAAAATAAATTTAATGTTAAACTATTATCTATAAATTAATATATTACATATTTATCTTTAGAATTTTACCTCATCAGTTTCATAAACATTGTCATCAATAATTGAGATATCAATAACTGCTTCCTGTTGGCCCTCAGCAAATGTGATGTTACCAGACACAGGTGAGTAGTCTGCAGTAGTGGCTGACGCGGAAAACGCTAGCCAGCTGACCCCAACAATATTAAAAGTGCCCGCTGAGCGAACCACAGGTAGCGTCAAAATGCCACTTGTTCCAGATCCTTCATACACTTCCACCTGGTTCGCAGAGTTCTAGGAAAAAATTAATTGGTGAGAACATTGAAATAAAAAAATTAACTAACTTAAAGTTTCTTATGTTATTAGACAGACATAACAATTTCTACATTCCACTCACTCGCATGACACTAAACTGTAAGATTCCATTAGCATTGTCATTCTGTGGAATTATGACCTCTGCCACATTCTGATCCTTCTTGACACTAGGGGGTGCTCCACTTATAGGACTCCCTGTTAGTAATTCTACTGATGTCAGATTCACAAAGAATGTTTCCGGTCCTTCAGCATCAGTGTCCTAGAATGAAAATGAGAACCAATTGTTCAGTACTAACAATAAATATATATAAACAAATAATAATATACAATATATATTATACACTATATATAAATTAATCTATTATAATATTTAGTTGTTTGTATATTAATGTATTACTGTAACAGGAATAATAAACATTGAAAACAAAGACTAAAAAAGCACAGCAGGTATGACATATTACTTACCGATAGAATGGTGATAGTGACTGAATCGGATGAAACTCCATCTCCCATGGTTACATAGCCTTCTCGAGAAACATAATCACGGTCACTCTTTGCTTGCTGAGCAAGTGGTAGACCAATTGCTTCAAAAGTACTGAAAAGATTAAACAAAAAATATATGTATACAGTTATTAGTGAATACTTACCTGAATAAACAGATAATTATTCTGGTAAAATTACTCGTACACCATTGATTTGTAAAATTTTGCTCAAGGAATGAAGCATGTATATGGGCTTCCGACAAAAAAATTAAAGTATACAATCTACTGAACCTTGTATTCTAATTAAAGAATTCTGGGCTCAAATCCAGAGAATTCAAGAATTTTCCGTATGAATAAACATTTTTAATAATTTGATAAAATATATGAAGTATACAATGTACTGAAGCTTGCATTTTAACTAAAGAATTCTTGGTTCAAAGCCAGAGAATTCATGATCTTTCTTTTGATTAAAAGGTTTTACAGAAATCACTTACATACACTTACATATAGAGCACCAGAGAGTTTATTCAATACCATAATATGCAAGTCAGAATAAGAACAAAGTAAAATACATCGATAAAATTTCATTCATACCTATATCTCACCAGGACTGTTCCCTGCACTCCCTGCTCCCTGATGACCTGAAGTCCAATGGTGACAGAGGTATGGCCTTCAGGTTCAGGTACGGAAGTAAACAGAGATCCAAGTGACCAGGCAAACACACCATGCGGTGAATCATTGGCCAGGATGATCATCCTAGCTGTGTAGTCTGTTGAACTGATCACAGCACCACGATCAGAGTGCGGTGTGCCTGGGTTGACCACACGTACCAAAGAGATGAAGACGGTCTCATCTAGTTCCGGCGTGCTGTCTGCTTTGATGGTGATGACAATGGCAGCAGAAGAAACACCATCACGGAATTCAATCTACAAAAAAATCACAATCATGAAATGAAAAATTAAATGGTTAAATTAATTTTTTTAAATTAAATAAGAATCATTGTAATAAAATCAATTATATTATTATATTTAATAACATAAAATATTACATTATTATTTCTACAATATATACAATGTGCTGTAAAGTGTTTTCTTTCAGGTTGGAATTAAGTAATATGAGCCATAGAATGTCTATGTATAATTAAATACAATTCTGTATTTTACTGATGAAAACCTATGGTTAAAAGCTACCATCTTCAACTTTGAGCATCCTTGTGGTCTACAAATTAAATTTTGCACTCACCTGTCCTGATTGTGGTGATATGTCATTGGCATCGTTGTCACCGCTAGCCTGCCATTCAATAACAACCAGACCAGCTGATCCATGTTGTCTCTCCACATTCAAGACGACAACATTGTCAACATTCAGTTCACTTACTTGCTTCTCTAATGAGTCCTGCAACAAGGTGGATGTAGAAAATATACTTTAAAACTAATAGACAGAGAAATAAAAAAAATTCATACTCAAATATAATAAAAAGCAAACTTTACCTGAGTAAAGGCAATCAATCCATGTGCATCGTCATTGGACAAGATGTTCACGGTCACCTGACCTTGTGAACCAATTATTGCGCCACCTGTAGGGTTGCTAAGCGCAACACTGAATCTTTCATCATTTTCTGGATCAGTATCATCAGTTGCTACCACAGCAATAGTCAGCTCAGTCTGACCGTCTTCAAAAGTCAGTTGTCCCGACCTAAAATATGATGTATTGTACTTTATTCAAGATTCATGGTTTTCTTCTCAATGAGTAAGTTTCAAAGGAAACTTCGGCATTTATCAGTCTTTTCCAGGTAAGTATTCATGAAATTAGACTTGAATTATTATTGTTTTTAAAATGTTTATAGAGGGTGACCCTTCCAGTGTATCCTACAAGGTCAGCTGATATTTAGGGGTTCTCTTAAATAAATGGAATTATGTGATGCTTTTATCAGCTAAGTCTCTTTATAGGGCTTAGGGAGTGGAGTTGTTAAGTAGTGAGAAAAAGTCTTGCTATCACAGGAATTGAACCCAGGACCCTGGTATTAGCAAGTAAGCATTTTAACCAAGCTATTAACTCCACTTATCCATCCCCTCAAACTCCAATTATGAGGGGGAAAGTAACATACCTTGGTACAAAATCAGAATCAGCAGAAATAGAGACAGCTTCATATATAAAAGACTCCAAAGCAGTCGAACCATCGCCATAATTTGCAGAGGCAATGTACAAGTCAACAGCGCCAGCAGTACTGCTAATCAAAATAGGCTCTAAATCATGCGACACAGGTGCCTTGGCAACATTGGTGAATGACAGGGCAAAGGAATTCCAAGCCCAGACGGTTGAGTCACCTTCTAGCTGCGCTACAACCAGGTGGGCTGTACCATCTAGGCCGGTGTAGTGCTTAATGCTCTGTACACCTGGGGTCGGTATAGACTGATGATGAGCAAACTGTGCATTGGCAATGTTCCACTTGTAGATAACTGATGTTACTTCTACACTTTCATCTAAAAACATAAATATTTAATATTAGACTATTTTATCCCCATGATTTTACGTCAAATTTACAATACTGAAATCAATTTAAATCATTCGATCTTACCACTGCTTCTGCTATTGGCTATTACAAGGTATGAACTTGAGCCAATCACAAAGCTCTCTACAGCGACTGCTCCGTTGGTGTCAATTGACTGATACTCCACCAGTTCACCACTCTGAAGCTGGAACACAGTGGACCTGGAATCAAATAACAATAATTGTTATTATTAAAAATGTGATAATGAAATAATATGCAATTATAGTCAGGCTTGGAGTACACTAAAGAAAATAGAAATCCAAGGAGCCATTACTTCCTGAAAAAATTGCCTGAAGCCCGCAGGGCTGAAAGCAATTTTTGAAAGAAAAGACGCAAAAAATTGGAGGCACTACATCAAATTAACAATTGATCGAGGAAAGGAAAATTACGTGCAAATGGAAGTGATGACGTCACAACTGACTGACAATAATTAATAGGTTTACTTATATAGCACCAAGAAACATACACAAAATTAAAGACAAAGTACTTAAGTTATAGAATGCCGATGTGACAATTTATTGGGAGCCCGCATTAATTTTTTCAAACTATGTAAAAATAAAAACATGCTGAGCTTTGCATCCCAGTAACTGGCTGTTAATTTATTTGTCCCCATTTATAAATTCTGAATGTAAGCCCTTGTTATTGTTTAAAAGAGAAATTAAGGAATTGTAAGTGTATTTATCAAGGTTTGCACCCTCAGAATAGATTAATTCTTACTTGATCTGTGTCGTTCCAAGCACCTGGTCGTAGGAGTTTGCCACGGCAACAAACTGATCCCCACCAATCTTGAATGTTACCGCATCAAGTGCGCCAGATGTTGGGACTTCTTGTTGTGTGGTAAACATCGCACCATTCCAAATCAATAAAACTGAGTTGATACTAGTTTCTTGGATGTTGTTGATTTCATTTGTGATAAATAAATAAGTGTCAGAACCACTTGTGAAGAAAACAGCATCTGAAGCTCCCATTGTCAAGATATCTTGTATCTACAAAAATCGTCAAAACTCATCAATTCCTACACAATAGCATGTGAACATGACTAAAAAGACAAAACTAACAAATTTGAAACAACAATATTACACTAAGTCCCATTTTAAACGTGGAAAATTTGTACTCACCACTACTAGTGTACCATTTGACTCAACCCGGTACAATCGTGAGGATGTCTGAACATTTCGGAACCAACCATGGTTGGCAACAACCAAGTATGTTTTGCCGTTGATCACATGACTGGAACTCTTGCGTGCACTGTTGGTTTCTATTGTCTAAAAAGATAGCAACAATGATTATATAAACAGAACAAGCAAACGGACATAGTTGGTGATGATTACCAATAACAATAACAATAGTAACAGCATCATCCATAATTAATCTTCCACCAACGAAAAGAAAACAGACTATTTTCTGCAAAATGACCTTAGTGTTCTGAGGTACCAACACCAGGTGTTTGAGCTTACTATAATGGTGGTGAGTGGATGCGAGGTACACTTACATAATTTCAGATGAGACAGAGATACAAAGTCTAAAATAGTCATTACCTGCACTGGAACAAAGACACCCTGCCATCGATACATCATAGAGTCCATGACAGGTGTAGCGTTAACTGAACCAGATGATCCATCACTGCTTAGACCTGTTGTCAACTCTCCAAGTCGTCTACTACTGGTCAACACAAGGAATACTTCAGACCCTATAGCGAAGCTGTGAAAACCTTGAGCGGCCATTGCAATGATTCTCTGAGAAGCTGCTAGGGTCAAACTGGTACCAACTGTAAAAAAAAAAGATGTATCAATATGTATAACCAAGATCTTTACAAGAATGAAGCTAAATACTGCAGTACAGGTCCACAGCAGTTTGAAAACTGACAATCACATTAAATAATAATGATGGGAATGTAATTTTTTAATAAACAAAATTTTTTAGATATAATTTTGCATTAGTTAATTTAAATTTACTAGGTTTTTATATCACACCAGTTAGTAGTTAGTAATGTATTTTTCAGTTGTAAATGTGTATGTTAGTTAATATTGATGTGTAAAAGAATCTGAAATAGAGATTTGATGTTTGAATGCAAAGAGAAAACATACCATCCTCGTAAACGACTGTGATTAATGATAGATGTTCTTGAAAAACTAGTGTTAACCTTACGAATACACTATGTGTATATATGGGACAGACACTTAGAATAAGAGTAGATTATGTCTTTACCAGAAGCAATGGCTGTCCCTGGTATGGTCTGCCAGTCGACTGTAATCTCATTCAATGTCCCAAATGATCTTTCAACTGTCAGGTAAGTAGGCTGTCCTGTTTCTTCAATGTCAACACTACTTGAACTAAAATACAGAGAAAATATATAGTACTGTATAATTAAACTTTATTATTAAATGCTACGAAGACATAAGTTAAATATCATATCACAAGTGTTATATTAATAATTATTCAAAAATATTCATCTGAATAAACTTCAACAAACTTAAAACATAAATGAAGACATTTCTGATATATATTAACAGTTCATGAAGACAAAATGTGTACTATAACCAGACCATTATGAGAATATCTATAAATACACTATTGCTAAAAATAGAGTATCACATCATTTTGTAGGGGGAAAATGGGATAAAAATAGAAATAATTTATTTTACCTTGAACCTTGTGGAAATATCTGTAGCAAGCCATAAGGAGAATCATTGTCTGCAACAATAATGGTAGCATTTACTGTTGTACCCAAAATAGCGCCCCCAGTTGGTGGTAGAAGTTTAACCAGGAATTGCTCCTGTAACTCTGGATCATTGTCAAGCACGGCTGATACATGCAGCACCTAGGATGATAAAGTTTGAATAGATTTTTGACTTGATAAAAGGTTGAACAGATTTTGACATGTTAAAAGGATAAATAGACTTTTGAAGTGATAAAAGGTTGAATAGATTTATGACCTGATAAAAGGTTAAACAGACTTTTGACATGATAAAAGGTTGAATAAAATTTTGACTTGATGAAAGTTTGACCAGAATTTTTAAAAAGTAATAGATGGACTCTTTGATACGTAGGCCTTCAAACAAAATATTTACAATGCTGAAGAGCTATTATTCAGAGTTCCCATCTAGTTGAGATTCTTACCGTGGTAGAAATTCCAGGTGTGAAGATGACAAATCCTGTTGCAGGATTTAAATCACTAACGGCGGATTGCCCATCCATCTGCAGGACTTGGAATGGTACTTGTATCTCACCAAATGTACCTTGTTCCCGTACTACAGCAAACTGCGCCACGCTGTTGGCTGTGCTGATGTCTGTGGGCTCCAAAATAGTGATAGTTGTGGGCCCAGTAAACGACACAATACCGTACGCATTATCATTGGCTAAGATTGTTATCACAGCTGTTAATAAAAAGAGAAAACAAAAATTAGGCAAGACTATCTTATACAACAAGACTAATTAATAATAATATGTAAGCAGAAAAGCTTGTTGCCCTAACCATTTTTGCTAATTATTGAAAAATATTATACTTTTATAAAAGATCTCATTTCGGTAGATATACCTTGGATTATTATTATCTTGTGTGTCAATAGCTACTAATAGAAAGTAATTTCTGTAAAAATATTGATATGACAAACACATGAATGTCATGCTGTTACTATCCCATTTACCAGCATACCCTTTAAAAGGGCATTCAGGCGGGTTGGTGAACCAGGTTTTGCCAGAACCTTATCTCAATAATCCAATTAAACATCAAAGAAGAATACCTCTACTTAAGAGTCATTATCACAGCAGGCATTGCTGTTTCTCAATAAATTACCAGTATAGTATTTAAAAACCAGGCTGGAAAATTTTAAAAACCTGTTGTTCAAAATAATTTGGCATTTTTATTACCTTAGCTATAATATCAGATAAAAATCATAATAGATATGCTTTTGAATTTTAAAAATCAATGACTTATGTTAGAAGTTACAACATGGTTTTTGATTTAATTGTGCTAGTCTTTTTATGAACTATTCGTAGCTAATGAGGCTCACTGTTAATCTTGTAATACAAAATTCCCTGAAGCAGTAATTAAGAAGAGATCGGCAAAACCTGGTTCAAAAATGTAAAATTTGGTAAATGGTGAAGTTTCCTCATGACAACAACAAGAGAAAAAATCCTACTGCCATGACAGGAACTGAACCCATGACCCTTGGATTAAAAGGCAAGCATTTTAACTGCCAACCTATTCAACTCCACTCCAGATGAAATTTTAATTTTAATTAAAAAATACCTTTCCTAGGTTCTCCAATCTCTAGGCCACCATTTGGATTACCAAGAATAATCTCAAATGATTCATTATCCTCTGGAGTTACATCCTCAAAGATATGTACAGTCACTGTCTTTTGGGCCTCACCACTGGCAAAATACAGGACCTAAGGAAATATAAAAACACATTAAAAATATTTTTAAAAAAAAACATCATTAGAAAGAAATTAAAATAAACATTTTTATAACTTTCTGTTAGAGTAGAACTTTGTGTGTTCTTAAGTCATTTTGTATACTGAACAATTTGTTTTTAGAAGGAATATTTTGAAAAATTAACAGAAGAAAATGAGTCAATCTACATGAAAACTAAAGGAAGATTACAAACAATGTATTCTGGTTTACAAATTACAGACTCAGTTGGGTTTACCTTGTCTGTAAAGCTGTAGTCACTGCCGCGAGTAGAATCCAAAGGCTGGCTGTATATGAAGACTGTAACATCACCGTATGTCCCTTTGTCTCGTTTTACAGTCAGTGTTACATTGGTTACACCTTCTTCAATTGAGACGCTAAAAAAAAAAATTATTACAAAAATATTCGTTAAAGATCAACTTCCTAAATGGTGTTAGATATATTGACAGCAATATTGGGCTAAAATGTTAAGTAGTAAATCACAAGATATAAGTTTAACCAATCACAATTTCTCTTATATTTAATATTAATGATGTATAATAAAAAAAATCAACAATACAGGGTGTAGTGTGGATCACATGATGTAAATTTAACCAATCAAGTGATTTCTTATTTGATGTTAAATATGTATGTTCAACAGGGTCTCTGTAGATCACATTATATACTTTCAACCAATTTGGGATTTTTTCTTACCTTTGGGAGTCACCAGCAAACATAACAACACCTTGAGTGCCATCATTAGCTCCTATGGTTACTTCTGCTATTGTTCCAACTTGATCTATCAGGATGAAGAAATATATTTATAAGTGAATTGTAGCAGCAACTTAGATTATCTAAATTATAATTTACAATCAAGAATGGAAATTTATCACAATAGATCCAAATAATTACTGAGAACTCACCAAGTGCAGGTGGTGTGTTAGTGGTTGATGGATCCAGGAGTTCTACGGACGTCAGGTTCACCAAGAACTTCTCATCAAGCTCAGGGATCTCATCCTAAAAAAAATAGTGGAAGTGGTTAATGATTAGTTGCATAGGTCACAAGGTTTTCTAGTTATCAAGTAGATTATTCTGCAGTAATTTGATGAAATACATCTGGTGATACTGATAATGTATCCAAGCAGGTTTTACTAACACCAAGTATAATCCACTACAGTAGTTTAAACACATACAAAAAAAATTAATATTATTTATTAGTTTTTTCTATTCATTCAACAATGTTTTAACATTGTTACCTGTAAAATCTGCACAGTAATGGCCATGTCACCTACACCATCTCCAAAATCAATGTATTCAATGCCATTACTGAAGTCTTGACCAAACAGAGCTTGATTTAGAGATGGCAGAGGGTTAAGTGTCAATGAACCCTCAAGAACTTCATAGAAAACACGAACCGCCCCTGATGAGATTTAAATAAAATGGAGGAATTAAAACAATATTTTAAATATGCATTTCTAAAACAACTGGACTAGTAAATGAACCTAGTTTGCTAAATAATTTCAAGCACTGTACTTTCTTCTAATGGTATGGTGTTTCTTTGCTTACCTATGTTGCCAAACTTCCTATCGACAAACAGCTGAACAGTTTGTTGATCCTCAGATACAGTGATCTCATCTGAACCTTGAGCAAAGCTGAAGACACCATGCGGCTCATCGCTTGCACTGATAGTGATGCTAGCAACTGAACCTTGTGGATCAAGCTCAGCAGCACCAGTAGAAGACACACCTAGTTCATATAGTATAGAGAGCACAACATATTATATAATAATTTTCTCCATTTAATTTGTCAATTAAAATTTATTTAGTTGTTTGAGGTTTGAAATTATGCATTTAAATGTAATTGTTTTGGGGGATTTTGTGCCCCGTCATTCTTATGGTTCGGATAATGTAAAGTGAGGAGACAGTCAGCCAAATCTTGCCCAATAATAGTTTCTTTCAAATAATCAGAAGTAGTTTATATTCAGCCCACTAGTGGGAATAAAAAAAAGGACGAATGAGCTTGAGTGAGTTTGAACAAGAGGCTGAAGAACAATGGTTAAACATCATAGAGATAAGCTACATTCTGTTAATCACTCTGCTGTCTTTATTAAAAGAATAGAATTAGGTTGACACCTTACTAACCTTCTGTCTCAACACCGGAAAGAACAATAACAAACTCTTCATTAACCTCTGGGGTTTCATCAGGGAGAGCATACAATGAAATGACTTGTCCAAGCTGACCCTGACCAAAGGAAACCTTGCCAGCAATGTTACGGAAACTTTGAGAAGGATCCAGTTCACCAGTTCCTTGAATTTGCCAATCGACTGACACCAGGCCAACAGCTGGCAAGGTACGTTCAATTGTGACATTGAAGGTTTCTCCTGAAATTTACAAACAGTAAGTGGATAAGTACATATGAAATATCAAAATAAGTAGACGGATTTGTAAGATCACTGTGTGACTAAAATAGTAAAATGTTTTACGATAAACACAATAGAAATTCATGAAATAGACAGCTTACCTTCAGCGACAATATAGGATAGAGTAGCAAACTTCAAAGTTCCAGCAACAAAATCATTAGAAGCTATCACTATGGTAACAGAACTATCAGCTCCTAGAACACTGCCCCCTTGAGGATCATACAGTTCTATCACAACATTCTCATCTACCTCTGGGATGACATCATCTCTGATGCTGATACTGATAACTAATAAACAAGAAACCAATAAATTAGTTAATATTCTTTTGTTATGTTACATAATGTGTATATACAAGACAACATTTTAACTTATCCTTATTTCAACCAAAAACAAATATGTTAATTAATGATTTAAAAACATGAGAAAACAATTTACCTCGTCGACTCTCTCCACTGGCGAAAGAAAGTGTGCCACCGCTGGCAATGAAGTCATCTTCCATATCAGCAGAGCCTCCATCAGCTGCCTGCCAAGACACCATTACATCACCTATAGTTCCTCCTGAAGAGTAAAATGACCAAGTGTTACAAATAGTTTTGGTGTGTTTGTTACTTTCCTAAACTTGAGCTTATTATTTATTTTACAACTGATTATATCACTAAGTATTAATTAAGCAGTACATAGATTACATATTACAGTATAAATTGAGGCCTGTTATGTAACACTGTTGCCTGGGTTGGACAACTCCATTATTTTATTAGGTAATTTCTTGAAAAAAAAAGTTCATCCAGGTAAATATTCACTTACATTTAATACAATACACAAAATATTATTTTCAACATTGGTTAACTGATATCTGAATCAGTACCAACAAAATGATTAAATTCTCTTTTTAATGTATTAGAAATTGATATAACATGTGTTCTTATGTTGAGACAGCTGGACTTTCTTAAGAACTTTCAATTTATACAACTGACCCATTCTCTCTACAGTCAACTCCACTCCAACTGATATTCCATTTCTTTCCTCTACCAAAAGGGTTTGGCCATTATCAGTTGCATCCGGACTATTGCTATAGATACGCCACACACCGTTGGCATCATCGTTGGTCTCTATGACAAGACGTGTCTCAGACTGTGGTCCTAGAGTTGGCTCGTTCTGGGTTGATGGTGTGCTGCCAACTAATCTGACACTGTCCAGCCTCAACTGTGAATGTGATGGTGTGATCATGGTAAAGATGTGATCAAATGAGACTGATATTTGTGATCATAAATGATTATTAAATATATCGGGAATGAACGGTTAGGTAAATTATGTGAAAATGAAAAATGAATGGATTAACAAATAGAAAAAATACTATTACTTTAATCAGATCATAAGGTACTGTAATGTATCATTTCATTTAAAAAAAATATATAATAGGTACAATATCATAAAGAAAATGTTTAGCCGATATGTTGCCAGGCAATCCATAGCCTCGAACACAATATTTCATTGTCTTATAATATTACCTTGAATGATTCTGCCATCTCTGGTATTGCATCATCGAGTATTGTAACAGTCACTGTTCCTGTGCCAGCTCCATCAGGTATGCGTACAATGCGACTCATAACTGGACTGTAGTCTACTCCTGGTTGAGCCACAGAGTCGTACAACAACTGAGCCTAGAGATAAATTTCAATAAATATATATAATAAATATAATTTTGAGGAATTTTACAGAGTGAGCTTAATAGTAAATCTATCCGATAAACATTGAAAAAATTCATCTGGATCCAATATATCCGATAAAGTTGATTGTAATATCCAAACTATATGTTCCAAACATTTTATGACAAAACAAATGTTTTTTTTATTCATTACTATCACTGTATCTATTTTCTCACAATACCAATTTGATACATTAGAGAATTTTTACTGGAATTAATATTTAGCATTACATACATCAAAGTTAAAGACAATTAGTTGTTTGCATAACAAAACAAAAACAAAATACTGTAGATTGCACTGGTCAGTTTACTATTAGGGGCATCCTACCTTCGAGACATCTTTGATATACAGTGTGAACCCAGATCCTGAATCAATATTATCTCCATCCGATGTCACTGACCACAAGCAGCTGACCGTGGCATTTATCTCTTTGAACTCCAGGGCGGCGCATGCTCTCTCCCTCAGGCAGAACTCAACACACATAGTCAGGGGGCTTGAGGCCCTTGAGACATCTAGCACAGTCTTTGAAATACCCATCTGTGAGCCTTGGATTGGTGCATGGTAGTAGTCAGTTGGATCTAGGCCAGATTGGTAGGCTTCTTGGACTACATCAAGTGGTTCACTGCTGTACACAATCTCAAGCTCACCGAAGAGACCACCACTGAAGATGTGAAGAGCAATTGCATTTCTAATATTGTTCATAACTAATGTAATATACAATGATCTATTACTCTCTCTTTAAACTGAAAATTCAAGCAGGGTGCTTATCATCGCGTGGGCTAGGCCTAGGCCCACCATTGAACAGGTAGGCTTCTGAGCAGACATGGCTACAGGAAACACTACAACTTCAATAAATAAAATTTATTTATTTATTAGTTAAAAATAATGTAAATGATTTATAAATGTATTATACATGATCTTTGTTGAAATCATCACTGAAATTCGGAGTTGCTCCAGAAACAGGAAGCAGCCATGGGGCAGTACCTTCTGTTATCAGAACACAATAATAATATTATTAATAGTAATATATTATGAGTTTCAATTCAACTGAATTCCATTCACTTTGATTTGCACACAAAAGTATAAATGTACACATGTTAGAGTAAATAGTGAAACATAAGCCTTTTTAATGCATTGCCCTTTAAATACAATAATATATATCTTAGGTAAGAAAGGAAAAAGTCAAGTAATAATTAAAGATAATAAATGACAAAAAGGAATGTAAATAATTTTGATCTTTACCGTCTGATAAGTTCAATATTAGTAATACTATTCCCATAGAGGTCTTCCGCTACTGGATTCACAGCATTACTAAATTCCACCATTCCATGCGGATTATCATTAGCACTGATGGAAATCACGGCAGTCGATTGGCTGCCAATGGAGCCGCCTCCGTCTGCACTAACAATCGTCAGAATTATATCCTACACAAATAAATTTATACCATTGCTATTAATGATAATTACATATTTCATTTCTAATATTATTTAAATCACAACATGTAATGACATAAATGAATATGGTTTATATTCACAGCTCTGCCAAAATACAATCTTTAGCAATACTGCCACCTTCACCATCATTCATTATTTTATCATCAACCTCAATATTATCATTATCATTTTCATAATCTGTTACTGTACTGTTGTCCGGTATTTACACAACTTGTTTTCCATGAGCTTACCTCAGTTTCCTCCGGTATATCATCAGGAAGAATATTTATTTTAAAGGTTCCAAATTTGTGTGTTGACAAGAAGTAGAGAGTTCCTCCAGTAGGAAACACATCATCAACAGCAAGCTCACCTAATCAAAAGAATACCTAACTTGTTAATTAATGTACAAGGTGTTTGCATTGGGGAATAATTAGCTCTTGACTTAAAAAATCCTTAAGCTTTTAATAAAAGAATTAATCATATATACACATAATCAAAAGAGTACCTAAGCTTTTAATAATGTACTTTAACATATGTTGAATGGTTAATATCAATAGTACATTAACACTGTAAAACATAATCTATCGAATTTATGGCAGTTTTTAATCTCATGATATACCCACCATTAATAGTGGCTTGCCATGTGACGGCAACAACTCCGATGTCACCAGCACTACGGATGACACTTATTGTGAGTTCTGTCATATCATCTCCTTCTGGTTCATTGACCTCTAAGTGAGATTGTCCAAAGCCTTTAACAGAAAATTATGATTTTAATAATGAAATTGCTTTTATAACATTGTCAACATATAACATCATTAAAATGTCATTCAAGTCAACAACAAAATGTCTTTACTCACCAAATTTTCCATTGGGATCATCTGAAGGAGTGATAGTGACAGCGCATCTACTGGGTGATCCAAGAGCAGCCCCTCCAGTGATTTCATTCAAAAGAATGATCTCAAATTGTTCCTCAATTTCTGGCACAGGATCATTAAGGATCTCAACTGGTAATGCCTTTGTTGTCTCACCTTCAAGAAACACCACATTTGTCGATGTAATGCTGTAGTCAAGACCTCGCTGGGCTGAATCTGGATTTGTTTCAAAGCTGATAGAAATCTAGTGGAAGAAGACAAAGCTATTATTGAATGTTTCCAAAAATTCATTTCAATTTAGAAATTTCTTCAATAATTGATGAAAATTTTAAAGTATAGATAAAAATAAACTTGAGTTACTGGTATACACCAACACTCCATAATGTAAGCATGTGAAACTCTAAAGTATAGAGCACAAAAAAGATAACAATCAAAAGTAACCTTCTCACCTGACCGAACGAGCCTGCAGTCCTAGTGATGTTGATGAATGGTCCAGAAAAGTCCTCTGAGACTGTAATCTCACTCGCTGACAATTGAAGAATGCCATTAGCATTGTCATTGGCAGGAATCACCACTTCCGCAATGCTTCCATCACCAATGCTGGGTGAATCAGTGACTACATGAACAAAAAAAAAAGATTTTAAATGAATAAACAAAAATATCTCATGAACTAAGATGGACTCAAACTTTGGGATACCTTTGGTTTTAGAAAAGCACTATCTCACACCCCATATTGTGTGGATAACAAAAATGGATAATACACAAACAAAGTTACAATACACCAGATGTGAAGTCCCTTCAGTCAACAACAAATAGTTTCTAATTTACATACCAGGTGCGGTCTGAGGTGATTCCAGGAGAGTGACTCTTGTAATGTAGATGAACATTGTCTCTTCTGTTTCAGGTAGGTTATCATCTAGTATTGTGACCGTAACCGATCCTTCACGTTGACCGTCTGTGAAAATCATTGACCCTTGGTTTGCCTGGAAATCTATACCTTCAGACGCACGACTACATAAATATAATTAAGGAGTAATTTTATCATCCATGTAATCAAACAGAAGGTAAAAATATACATATATATTAGCTTGTTAATAAAAAGACAAAAATACATGATTCAATTTTATGGGTGAAGTATATTACATCATAAGAACAAACGAGACTACAGTGTGAGACTACTGATCATGCTAGATCACATGATTATCACATAAACATGTATAGAACTGCAAGAGGTTCTATGTATATATAATCCTATTTAAAAAAGTACTGCCACAAAGGGGCGTGTCTTTAAAACACAAGTTTTGAGCAAACTCTATTCAAATTCTAAAAGGGTGCTCCTATTTCGTGGCAATAATTTTTTTAAACGTTCCATTGCTTGCAGTCAGACTTCTCGCAGTTCTATACTCTTTGCTATAATGCTGGGTTTTGGCAAACATCAGAGACTGACCTTATGAATGATGGCATGTTAGGAAGTTCCTCATCATCTCTTAACGAGGAGTAAAAAACACGGACACTACCAACAGATCCAGCTTCACGGATTATCTAAAAAGAAGGAATATAAATCATAACCTAGGTATTTGACAACATAGGTCTTTCCATAAATTAGAAATTATAAGGCAAATGTACTTGATAGTATATAATAATTTAATGGAGAAAATTGTTTTCATACCTTTAAAGTAATGTTTTGGTTCGCCTCAATTTGAACCACCTGTAGTGACTCTTGATCGAAGACAAATCTGCCGTATGGATCATCACTTGCCGTGATGGTCAGTTTGGCTACCAGAAACTGACTTTCACCAAGATCACCATCACTTACAGAAATTAGGTTGACATAGAACATTTCATCGAGCTCAGGAATCTGAAAGCAACATATTGAAGATACATTGTATTGGGTAGTATTCACAAAATAGACAATCATAATGAAAATGAAAATTATGATTTATTATGATGTTTGTAGTTGTAGCCTAGTAGACAGCATGTATGAATATGGTTTTAAAACAATGACTGGCGAGTTGAATGGCCAAGCATTTAAGGCAGGTACACCGTAATGTACAGTCATAATATTTGACGGAACAAGTCTTCTCAGATAAGGACTACATTATACCGTAGGCCCAGTGTATACAATTGGCTCGTGTGCACTTAAAAGAACCCAGTACATCTTTTGAAACCCCTGTGTACTGGTCCATTCAGCCCCTGTTGACAGATGAGAGTAGCTGGTACCGTTTTACCGGGTACCTCGCACACAAAGATACCCTTAGGGGAGAAGCAAGTTACTGTAAGTGCTAGTCTTTGAGAACGTTTCAGTATAAAGTGTTACATAACCTAACATTACAATAGAAATTTAACTACATTAGTGATAATGATGATAATTTCTTGATAATAAAGATGGCTATGATGATGAATATTGTGACAAACATTATATCATCAACCCACTTTCGCCTTACAGCATAGCATTTTGGCAAATATTATTCCAAGTAGATTGATTATTACAAAGATGATATAGTGATGATGATTATAATTATAATGGTGACAAGTATTTTTTATACCTTGTTTAGCGAAACCCGCTGACTGCAAATATTGATGATTTTGAATAAAAATCAAAATTTTATTTTTGCCCAATTAATAATAATAATAATAATTCTGGCACCCGCAGCCATGAAAAAGTGGAAATTTCAGAAAAAAATAAAAGTTTTTTTTAACTTTTATTACGCCCTCCGCTGCCTTGAAATCTCCAAAGATAACATATGCATATTTCTTCATAATTATATTAATTTGAAGCATTTAGCCATCCTATTTTACATTCATCAATAAAATTTCCCCCCCCCCCCCATCTGGAGGTTTTTGGCAAAACTATTTGCTAAATAGGAAAACAAAATTTTATTTTTATTCCGCCCTCCTCCGATGACCTTTAAAAAAATAAGTACGCAAAACAAGAATAAAAAAAGTCTTACCTAATTGAAAATATATGGAGGTGGTTATGGTGATGAAAATGATGGTGATAGGTGATAATGAAAATGATGACGACTATGGATATTTTTTTCAATGTTGGATGCAACCAACTCACCTGATCAGGCACTGGTTGTAGCTCAATGACTGTTGCTCTCTCTTCAACACTGAATGTAACATTACCTTCATATTCCAAAAGATCTGTGCTGTTACTTGCTGCTGGAGATGATGGGTCAGGGGTTACATTCCAGAAGACAACAGATACCCCAAGAGCACCGCCCGTTCTGATTACCTAAAATAAAAAATAATCAATAATGAAAACTAATAAAATTATTACGACAAATCTTGACATACACTGTATCCAACGAAGTACAAGTTGTTTATAGGACTAGTCGAGTAGCCATGCAGTAAGGCAGGGGCACCGCTAACTACAGCATTAACATTGGCGCTGGTTCTAGCCGCTCCTCGGCCAGGTTTCGGTTGGTAGAACCAAGTCTTCTCAGATAAGAACTTCAAATAGAGGTCCTGTGTACACATCTGCTGGCTTGTGTGAACTTCGAAGAACCCATTACATCTTTCTTTGCTATGGTAAATTTCAGCCTCTGCCATTGTGGAATGATGTGAACGTGTAGCTACTATAGTCACGGATCAGCACAGTGAAGCTGCGAGTTATGGGTTGTTCTCCTACTTTACCTTTACTATTTATAGACAATTTTTTAAATTAATGACTTATAATAATGGCAAAATGAAAATGATATACTGGATAATATTTAAAATTTAGTCATATAATGGACATTAAGAGTCTAATTGTTTACATTATTTTTCTTTTATGCTCGAGAGGTAGGTTCCAAAGGAAACTTAGGCATTTATCGGTTTATCCAGGTAAGTGTTCATGAAATACATGCATTAATTTACAGAAAGTGTAAAAATTATTATGAAACATTTTTATTTATCTACTGGTATCTTTTATCAAACCAGTCAGTTGCATGTAAGCTAATAAGTGTTACCACTTCTTAGCCAAAAATTGATGGGTTGATATGTTCTCTGCAAGAGTATGATAAATGACAAAAACCACACCTGAAACGCCGCGGACTCCATTTCACTGACGGTCACATCAAGTGAATTTTCAGCAAATTCAAACAATCCATAGGCTTCATCGGAATTCTCAATCGTTACTTCCACCGTTGAGCCAATATCAAGATCAGCTGTCAACAAATAATATATAAAATAAAATTAATAATAGTAAGGTATTATATAACGCATTATGCCCAACAAGTGCTCTACGCACTTCACATTATTGCCCCACTAATTAGAGAAATTTCACTGAATGTTGAACACAGGTGGGCAAAGTGCGGCCTGTCGGGCCATATGAGGCCCGACAGTGTTTTTTTGCGGCCCTCTAAAATGAATTAAAAACTATATGTGTGCAGCCCACCAAACATCTTTGGCTAGAAAACACCTTGTTTCTTATGGCCCAACACCGATTACCTGTAAAATTTAATATTAAACCTGAGCATAAATCAGAATAAAGAGAGTGTATGAAGGTTTTTGGAAGTGCACTGGAAACTTCAAAGTTTGGGTGCATCCCTCTGTGTTACATCAAAAATTCACTTTGGCCCTTTGACCCAATTTTATGCCCACTGCGATGTAGAAATATTTCTGCCGACTAAGATAATAGCCGACTAGGTCTCTAACCGCAATCACTTGCCTTTATATTCCAGTTTTAAAAAAAATTTAAAAAAATTAATACCATAACATCACTTCTAAATGTACAAAAAGTAACCTGTAATATCAACAGGGGAAAAAACATTGATATGCATAGTAATGCAAAAAAGAATGAATGAAAAATTATGTATACCAATATAAATGAACCACAAATATGAAAACCCAAAACTTAAGATTTATAAAAAAGAGCTGAAATATATGCTAATTATATTTTAATTCTAATAATGAGTAAGTTCTAATTAATTTAATAATTCTTGCTGTACATCATCAACAACCAATCATCAAACCAATCAAAACATGGCTCAAATAATCTATGATTCACAGATCAAGACATAACAGTGAATGGGATTGGACTGGAAGGGGTGATTTGGTAGTAAAAAAAAAGGAAACAATGGACAAAATGTGAGGTTAATTATAAATAAAATGTGATATGAGGGTGAGAATTTAACTATCACGCAGTGCCCCCACTTAACCTTCATACCCCTCCGTCAGCCCCCATGTCAATCTAGAGAAGCCACTAACAACTAAGCTCTTAGTTACTACTTGAATAAGGGAAAAAACTGTGCAAACAGGATTGGTCCATGCGGAAATACATGCAAGGAATGAAATGTTAAATAAACTCACCATCTGATTCATTAAATGATGAACAGAAAACAGAAATATCATTATTATATAGAACATACACTATTATTAATAGTACAGGACATGTATAATAGTGATAAAGATTACAAAAAATAAATAGGTCTCAACATTCTAATAATTTCAATCATTGATAGAATTAATAACATAGACACTGTAGTAAATAGGTCATACAAACATAAATATTATTACACAATTAATATTTTCCTAGTATCTGAATACACTTAGTGATGTGTATCTTGACTATAATAGAGATGCATTCACACACAGTTAGATGAATTCATTCTAGTGTATACTGTTCACACAGGCAAAAAGATATCAAGAAGTAAACTAATATTTCAAGACATAAGAAACATGCACATTTATTGCATTAATTGGTTGTTATTTTTATGGTGAGAATAGGTATCACAAGCAACGTTACAAGACGAACAGCATTCTTATAATCAATTGATCATTTCTTAGGAAATTAATGGAAAGAATGGAGAAAATCTCAGCAGTTTGTAGAATAGTAATAATAATGTTTTTTTTCCTATAACTGACCAATAAATATAAAATCCCACATTTTATTTTTCCCTTTGGAAATCAATTTTAGCAAGAATACACTCCATTATATTACAGTATCACTTACCTCCCCCTGTCGGGTTTGATAGCTGGACTCGAAAGGTTTTCTCTAGTTCAGGGATGTTGTTGTCAACGATAGTGACGTTGATGTAAGCATACCGTTGCTGATCCTCGAATGTTAATGTACCTCCAGCACCCTGGTATAAAATAGTCAAAACATTAGTAAAGATAGCGTATAATATATGCTAATTATGAAGAATAAATCAATCATAGTTAATAAAATTAGATTATAAATCAACAAATAAAATGATTAACTTACAATAAAGTCAATAGGATCTTTGCCAGCAGACACAGCAGTTCCGTCCAGAGTACTCCATTCAACGGTAACAGGTCCAAGCAGTCCTTGTGCCCTCACTACCAGCAGCTGGATGAACCCAGCATCCTCTTGCACTGATACTCTGACAATATCTTCCTCTGGTGGAATCAGTGGGTCTCCAGCATCTGGTGGAGAACCAACGGCAAACTGGAGCAGTCCATAAGGAAAGTCGTTCAACGCAAGCGTGAGGTTGTTTTCCAAGTTTTCTGGATCGATACTTGCTCCACTTGTGTCAGTTGATCCAACGATGCCATCATCAGACATTGGATGACGTGTAATAAGCTTAACAGTGAAGTCTTCAGCAAGTTCTGGTACTAAGTCTTCAACGGCAACAATAATAATTTCCTGTATGGTTGAAATTATTGTTTTATTTTTTTCCTAAATGCTAAACTAGTATAACATAGGTAAGTCTGTTTCGTTCAACAGAAAATTGAGACTGAGGATGTGTTTATGGTTTATGGAACTCGTATATGATGAGTAGAGAGATTACATTATATTCAAATTTCCTAGAATATATATCTTCTAGGAACAAAGTTTCATTCATACACCTTTTATAATATGGCATGAGTTATAAATTAGGTTGAGGGCTAATAAAAAATTTAAAATATTAAACAAATTAACAGGACAAAGCTAGACATCAGAGGTAAAAACAATTACTATATAAGAATAAATGATTAGTATAACATACCATCTCTCGGACACCATTTTCAAAGACCAACACCCCGGATGCATTTATGAAGTCACTTGTAGCATCTCCCGTAAAAAGGTTCTGTACTTCCCATGGGATTGAGACAACACCCTCGTCCCCACGACTGCGCATCACTGGACAAGTGTATGTTATGGATTCAGCAGAGAGTGGATCAGATGTTGAGAGACGACAAGGACCATCAAAACCAAACAATCCATTTGCATTATCACTTTTCAGAACTAAAAGAGTATACAAATCAATGGGGATTAAGTTTAACTAAAATACATCCAGTATGAACATGCTGAAAGCTATATTATTATAATACAAATACAAATAAACTTTTATTGCAACTTCAAAAAATATACAGAAATTAAAGTTGAACAATGCGTAAAATTTTATAAATTAAAGGAATAATTATAAATAATATAATTAATAATTATAAATAATATAACTTATCATTATTTATTTATTTATTCTTATTATTATTATTATTTTATTTAATCAGGCATATATAAACAAACACAGAAAGCAAAAAAACCTGAAGCATCTTATGGCCAAATGCTACTGGATTTAAAACCCAGACCATGGGATTATCAAGCATAACTATTTATAACTAATATTATATTCATCCTAATTATAAAAAATAAAAAAAATAAAAATTAAATTTAAATTTAAATTAAAATTAATGTTCCCAAAAATTTACCAGTAAGAATAGCAGTGGTGTCATCGGAGTCTAGCCTTGCTCCACCATTCACTGTGAGGAGGTTGACAGTGAATACTTCATTACCTTCCTCTTCTGTGTCCTGGATAGAGGATATACGGATTTGTTGTACACTCTCCCCTGAGTTAAATGTCACATACCCTGAGATGGGTGTTACATCTTTGGTTGCAGGATTGTTCCAAATTTCACTAATTTCACTAAAATACAAGAAACATTCATAAATTAGAATAAATGAATATATATTATTTATAATATTTTTAAAATTTTATATTTATTTATACTCACTTCATCGTTAGTCTCCTGCTGTATAACCTGACATCTTGTAGTAATCCTTTGTACCTGTTGCTAGATGGGAGTCTAGCACCAACATACATCAGGCCAACACCATCATCATTTACATCGCTAAGATTCCTAAGAAAAAATTTATCATATTTGATTGATTAATACTATTACTATTGGTTCTATTAACATAATATTTGATAGATTAAAAATCACACAGTCACAAATAAAAAATAATCCAATAAAAACAATCTTTCCTAACAAACACTGCACCTAAATTGTCACGAAAATTCATATTTCAGGAATTGGCTACTTTATTATCATTACCTTTTATATATTATATATTCATACAGTTTATGAATGATGTTCCATCAGTATACTGCACTACTATATAATAAACAAAAACTGAAAGAATTTAGAACGGTTTGACTTACAGGTCTGCTTCTAGCTGACCATCAACAAAAAACTGGACCTGCAGGTTGCCAATGACAGCAATGATCTGATGCCACTGGTCATCAGTCAACATTAGACCGCTGAATATTGCACCGGCTGATAAATTCACCTGTAAGGAAATAATAGAAACTATTTGTTTGTGTGTTTATATTCTGTGGAAATGAAGAGTATATTTTAGCATCCACATCATACTGTCACAACATGTTGATGAAAAATAACTCACAGAACTGTCAGTTGAGTATCTGAATTCTATATATACTGATGTTGAACTTTGAATTTCCAGCTTCAGACCATAATACATCTTAATGTTGTCAGCAGCCGATACTTTGCTGACAATGAATCCATTACAGTCAGAGGTAGGCTTTACCCAGGCACTGATGGAGAACCCTGAGGAAATTTCAGCAGGAGGGGGTTGGTACTCAGCAGGCACTGAGAGGTAAGAACCTGTGTAGAGAAAATGCAAAGGCTGTTAATTTTGGCTTAAGCATAGAAAACCAGTCGAGTTCAAAAATCTGCTTTTTTCAGCCTCAGACATCTGACTAGATTGTCAGACATTTTTTTGTTATTATGTACTTGACATGCTTGCAGTCATTTGATACACTACAGGTTTTTTCCCCTATAAAATGTAAGTTGATTTGAAACGTCTTATAATAAGGTTAAAACACTTGCTTACCAGTTCCTCCTGAAAATGAAAATACACTGGTTCCTGTGTGTGGGCGCCGTTGCTCCGGGACAGACTGAACTCCACTAGCAGACAAATGTTCACCCACAAACAGCAAGTCAATCACTTCAGGCAGTCCACCAGATATTGAGTCTGTAAACACTTCCCATAATGCCTAGAGTTAATTGAAAAAGGAGACTTTTCAAAATGAAAATTACATATAGGGAGCATATTTTGTTATGCAGCCAAGGCCATTGTATTCCATATTAAAAGCAACCACATCCTTCTAAAGTAGGCCTACTCCAAATGTTCCTCAGTGAAGACAGAAAAACAAGCAATGTGATCAGTCTAAGAAAAAGCACAAAGTCTGGCCACTGCAACACATGCAAAGTCCCACTTATAATAGTTGAGCAATTCACTTCATAACAAAATATTACAAATTTCAAGAAATTACACATTTTTTATGATTTATGTAGGCTCATGTTCACAGGAAATTTTCAAATGGCCAATTAAAAACTGGTTCAATATAACAGTGAATACTTACCCCAACATTTGAGAATAGTCCCTGACCCCTGACAACAGTAAAGTTTGTTTTTGTTATCGCTTCATCTCCTGGATAAAAGTCTTCGGCAACATCTCTTTCACGCGAGTCTGAGGGGAACCTTAAGACTCCAAATGGATCATCATTTGGCAGGATTTTAATGACCACTGACATAGGACCTGTCTCTGACAGCTTTGGTTTATCATTTGGAAATCCACCTATTTATAGTAGTAGAATAAAGATATTTTAAAGATAACGTATGTAACTTAAAAGTTATAATGTTTACAGATAACTTTTACATTACATGCACTACAAAGGTAATAATGTTTATAATTTATAATATGGCCTATTACACTTCAATTAAAGACCACCTCTAATTAAAAACAACCTCTAATTAAAGACCACTTTTCTGTGGTCCCAAATTAACACCTGTCTTTTATCTTTATTATTCTAATTAGAAACCAAAGCTGCTAAATTCCATTGGAACCCTGGCCCTTAAAGTGGTCTTTAATTGAAGAAGACCTGTATTAAGCTATGCATTAATTTTATGTTTCTATATGGTTGACAAAATTAGTAATTATCCAAAAATTAGGGAAAAAAAAGCAAACCTGATACATTTACAAGCTTCACTTCATAATACTCTGTGAACTCAGGAATGGAATCTGCCAAAACTTGGATACTTAGGACTTGTTGCGATTGACGGTCAGCAAATTCAAGGACACCCTCAACATTCACAAACTCTTGACCATTAATGACCTTATCATCAGTACCATTGTGGACTATCATCCAGTACACTTGTACGACTCCATAAAATCCCCTTTCTCGTTGGACACTGTTCAAACATTATAAACAATAAAAATTTAATAAACGTTAATAAGAAGTATAATTATTCTGTCAGTGATAATAAGAATTTGGACGAGAATATAGCAATATTATTTTCTTGTTTACCTTTTTCTCTGTTTTTAGCGCATTAGTGGTTTTTACAGAAAACTGTATTCAAAGGCCAACTCAGACAGCATCATACGACGCAGCCCGACGCGATTTGTTGTCGCGTCAGGTATGTGTGAGTTAAATGCAGACGCGATGGTGTGCGTCGCGGGCAGTCGCATCGTAGAAAATTAAACATGTTTAATATTTCTCAAGACTGTCCCCGACGATAAAATGGGTCGGGCTGCGTTGGCTGACGCTGTCTGAGTTGGCGTTAAGTGTGACCATTGGAGTATCTAGGAGTATGCATTTGGGCAGGCACAATGGGCAGGTGCAATGGAAAGGTGGGGGAAAAGAATGAGTTGATTTTTCACTACTTGAGTATAATTTATTTTTGCTCTATCAAGTTTTTAGTAGGGGGCACCTGGGCCCAAAAACATTTCTGTGGAGTGTGCATTCCCATCCCCTTAGATATGCCACTGTGTATACGAATGTAGGTTGGTTTCATCGTGGGGGATGCAAAAATTGAGATTGCTGAGTGCGAAAAATTGAGCAAGGGGAACTAAATTTCTTTCCAAATGAAAAACTTATGGTCATTTTTAGTATTTTAACTCACTTAGTGGAACTAATTTGCTAGCATTC